AAATAAAATATTCACGTTGCATGAACTATACTAGAGAAGCAGGTCAAAGACATACGACATTACTGATACGACTTTGTGACCTTGTAGCTTCTCTTGTTTTGAGAAGAGAAAATGTATTCGTTTATAAATAAAATGTTCAGGAATCTGATGCCCTGATAGAAAGTTTGACTGAAGAAGATATTCTAAGAACGATTAATACAAACAATATCAGCAATATCTTTCTTAAAGAGAAAAATTTCAAGGTTAGCAGGGAAATGAACAAATATTCATATACAGGAATACCCACAAAGGAAGAGACTGTAAAGACAACCTGAACCTATTTAAATATGACGTATTCAGGATTTAATGAAGTTTTCTTTCAAATAAAAATTTGCACTTTTTGTAATTGTTATTTTCCCTAACTGTAGTCTCGTACTTTCTATAAAACTTTTCATTTAGGATATTACTACAAATAATATGCTAGGGGTGTAAAATAAGTATTTTTAGTCTTTCTTAATTGAGGGCCAAAATCTCCGTTTAGAATTTTTAAAATTAATGAATTCTTGATTTTACAATTAAGAAAATTTCTTTTAAATATTTTCGAAAAAAATAAGAACTTGTGGGATTGGAAATGGAAAAAATCGACGTTATTAGTTCCAAAAAAGTTTTCTTGCAAAAGAGTTTGTCTGCTAGAGTAACGCAGCCATCGCGCTTTAATCTCATTTTTGATTTGATATTTGCTCTTTTGTATTCTTTTCTTGGATGTAAGATGTACATTGTATTGTACATGATTTATTGATTTAAGGGCTATGTTGTAGGGAGGACAGTTTATTCTTATATTTGAAATATCATAATTTTAAGGGGAATTTCTTTAATTATTACAATCAAAATATTTTTATTAAATTTTCATCGAATTTTACAGCTCTTTTTAACATAAATATCATATTTTTCAAGGATAATATTTGTGTACTAAACCTGCCGATTAAGTATAAGTACAGTCCAAGAAAGTAATTAGTGGAAGAAACCCCAGAGGCCAACCACCTCTTTTACAGTTGCAGGGAATCCTAAATCAAAGGAAATTAGACAGTGTTAATTAGTTGTCTTGGGAGTCTCATCCTTTGCGGGTAACACCGGTTGTAATATCGAATAACCGAAAGCAATTCGAAATACAGAACACTAAGTTCGAAATTGAAAACAGAATATTTGTTTCGTGAACTAGCTTTAAATCTAATCTTGTATCTCGAACTCAGAACTAACCAATCGCATGGATTGTTAGAACGGATTGAAGTAATATATTTATTCCCTCGGTTTGTTTATATGCTGAACAATATTACAAGTATATTTTACACTATATGAAAAGTCATTTTACAATATAAGACATTTACAATATCAATAAAAGTAAAACATCAATAAGAAATTTATATATATACCTAACGCTCAGGGAAGCTCTGAATTCCTGGTAGGCTTTATGTGTAGTGATCAAGTGGGATGATAGTTCTCTACCTCTGTTCAGTGTGCTCAGATAGCTGTACACTTAAAACTGTTTACTAATATTGATATACCATAGGTTAGGCCAGAATCAACTTATATAATAAACAAATATGCAGTACGCTCTCGGTATAGTTTATGGCCTATAAAATTAGTAAAGGAATAGCGTAATCATCACTCTATACAGTACAACCTCGTTGTTACTAATCTAATGTCTGTTACAATCAGGGAGTAAGGAATAGAAGGGAGATATAACTGACGCGGTACGCCCTACCATATGATTAAACATGCGTTGCAGACGGTACTCCATTTGTATGAGAAATATTCAGAATAGGTTATTGTATACGCGGTAATTGTACATCAGACAAATATTTCAAATTCAAATGAAGTACCGTCTGCAAAGCATGTATAATCATATAAACTATATTTTTGGCTAAAAAATAGTTATATTTTGGGTCAAAAAAGTAGTCTTTTTGGACAAAAAAGTTACATTTTTGGTCGAAAAAAGTTATATTTTAAGCTAAAAATATGGTTATATTTTTGGTCATAAAAAAGTTATATTTTTGTCGAACATGGTTATATTTATAACGTGTTTGGTCTTTTATTTTTTTGTCAGTTATATTTTTTGTTATTCTTTTTTTGGTAGTTTTTTAAAGTATATTTTCAGCCGTGAGGAACTTTTTAATATAAAATTGTCATTTTTTACTTTTTTAAAAACCTTTTTCCTCCAAAACTTTTGCCTTGGACACCTCTAAAGTACCCCCCCCTTCCTCCTTCTCCTATCCTTCCACAAGATTTTAAAGTTCTTTGAGACAGAGGATAACATTTTCTTAGGTTTTTATTAAACCTGATTTAATCCTGTAATAAAAAGAAGCTTAACAAAACTTCATAGATGTTAGATTTCAAAACAAAAAATTCCTCTATATTTTAGCATTTAGATTTTTATTTATCTCTATGATAAATTCTTCTTTCTAAAATTGAAATGAATTTGTTGCAATTATTAAAATAGAATACTAGTTTAAATTAATTAAACCATATATTAATTAAAACAAAGAACAAGTCTCATTCTTACCGATGTTTCAGCTATTTGAATCATGATTCAAACTTTTAAGAGAGACATGAGAATGGAGTAACCTCTATAAAGGCTTTGGTTTTATAATGGATTTTGGAGTACTTTTTAATAATAATGACTTGCTGTTTTAACAGTTTTAGAAATATTGTTACGCATTCAATTTTTGGTATAAAAACAATAAAAATAATAGATTTTTTATTTTTGCAGTTTTTAAATTTTTCATAATTTGGGATAATTTATTAAGAAAAAGTTCTTTATTACGTTTTAATATTTACAGTGTAATGAATTGCAATTAAGAATATCCCCACCCCCACCCCTCTCGTAGAGTTTTATTTATCCCAGGAAAATAATTAACGCCATAAAATATTAATCAGCAGATTTTTGCTAAAAAATTTCAGTTTCTTGAAATGTGAAGAGATGCATGGGTGAAAATATTTCTGAAAACTTCATTAAAAAGGACCTTTTTGAGAATATTTCTTCACATTTACGAAGAATTAACAATGTAAGGAATGACATATTTTTGAATACTTAAAATCTTTTATGGTCCTGGTAGTGGCAAAAATTGGAGGGGGCTGGCGCAGGGATTCTATATTTGAAATTTGTTTGATGGAAGCAATAATCAACAGATTTTAAAGTGTAGAGAAACGTATTCTATTATTCTATGTTGGGTGCAGAATGACAACTTCTTATACATTAAATCCTGTCAGTGTACATGTTTATGTTATTTTTTAAACCTAGACTTTTAACATCACCCTAGCAACCAGAAAACGTCTACAGGACGTCCTGCGGACTTTGCAGGGACGTAAAACACACACACGACCTATCTTTATTCGTTTATATTACGTAACTTTGGATGTTGTAATGACCAAACTTTTGAGGTCAAAATGACCAAACTTTTGAGGTCAAAATGACCAAACTATTCATTCTATTGAACCCATTCACTATTCAACACATTACCATTATTCATATTCCTCATACGTTCATATATCATTATCTAGCGGCTGTTCTTGATAGTTTTATAACCTCGTTCCGAACTATCTTGGGGACATCAGGTAGAATCTACAGGCTCTCATANACCACGGCCCGCTTATAGATATGATTCTATCGACCTATTAACTGTTATGGACCAGTGTATACATGTTATATTTTTGGATTGGCTTCACAAGTGGACCCTAGATTTTTAGTGAAATTTTCAGATCTTTGCATGGTGGTGTTCTAATTAGGTTTCACTCTGACAAATTTTCTTTCAGTTTATCGTTCATTCTTGAAAAATAACTAGTTCCTTAAAATATGATTTCCCAAAAGTGGTCTGCCATTTTGCACTTTCTGATTTGACTGAGATATTGAGAAATTTGTCTAAAATTTAAATTATTAAATACTACAAAGGTTGTTTAAATTTTCAGTATCTCCGACAGTTTCTTTGATACAAAGAAGGAGGCAAAATTTTAACAAGTTTTAAAGACTTATAATGCTTTTCTACACTCCTTTGACAACTATTAACTTTACGAATACCGCAGACAAATTTTAAGTGCAGGATCCTATGTCTAATGTTTATTAGGACACCGCCGTTAGCAAAATGTATTCATTATTAATAATTCATGATGTAGCGTGAAGTACAAAGTAGTTTTTAGAAATCTTTAGTATTGACGTGTACCTCTCCTTTTCAAAGGTTCTTAAGAAAGCCTAATGCTGAATTCAAAGACTAATTCTTGTTTATACACAAAGATTAAAAAAAATTGGCCTCTTCATTCTTCATTTTATACAGAGGGGTGAGGACCGAGGGGGGGGAGGACGACCTAAATCAATTCCGCCTCCGAACCACTTTTACACATTTTTAAAAAAATGTTATAACAGTGGGACTTATAAAACTGTGGAATAAGAGGACGAATGTGCAACTTAATTATGATTTTAGATAGATAATTGTTAAAAGAAAATAGTTAACAGCTTGAGGTCATTTATGAAAATTTGGGGGTCTCCGATGAGCTGGTCAATGGCTACGGTGTCTCAAAAGTGGGGTTACCAAATTTTTGTTTAATCTCTTTCGCAAAATTTTGTTCAGGTAACGAAAAAGTGAATGAAAACGAACATTTTCGTTCATTTTCGCGAAATTGTTCGGAATTAAAACTAAATTTGCGAATTTCGCGAAATTTTTTTGTTTAGAACCGTATTTTTTTGCGATGTTCAACAACCCTTTTTCACGAAATTTTAACCTTTTTAAAATAATTTTTGATAAAATATTAAGAATTTTGGAATTTTCGTAAAACTTTTTGTTTAAAGGGAGTGACCGGCTATGAAAGGTAGAACTGAGTATGTAGTGTTGCAGTGTTGTGGAAAACATCTTTCGGATTCTTTCGTTTTCTAAATTAATTTTTAAATTATTAAATAACGACGACATAAAATGTTAGAAAAAATTCTACAATAAACTACAGACGTCATGTATAAAAACATGTTGAGAAAATAAAAATTTATCTTATCATCGAAAATAAGTAATCTTGTTCAATTATTAGTTTCTATTTTTTCATTAGTCTGGTTTCTCATTATTAACAAAGATTTTCTGCAGATTTTCTAGAATTATTATTGAAAAGACGATATTTAAAGAATTTGAAGAAATCTGCGAATAACTTCAAAGAAAATAAGAAATTCAATATAATAATGAAAACGAAATAAACGATTTAAGCATTGATTTATTGACAAACTTCTTTTGATAAATATATTCCTAACCATCTAGTTAGACTACTGTATAATTTTTACTTTATTTTTCGTTGTCATTATTTAATAATTAAAAAAAAACTAATTCTGAAAATATATCCACCCCCCAAAGTAGGAGTTTTAAAGTCGAATTTGCGCTCAAACTCAGGATTTGCAGATCTTTAAAAAGTTTAATGTGTCTCAAATGAATCCGATAGAAGTTTTCCACAACACTGCATACTCAGTTCAACTACCTTACACAGCCGGTCANTCAGGATTTGCAGATCTTTAAAAAGTTTAATGTGTCTCAAATGAATCCGATAGAAGTTTTCCACAACACTGCATACTCAGTTCAACTACCTTACACAGCCGGTCACTCCCTTTAAGAACTGTAAAGGTTGCCAACAATTTTTCGCAACTATGATGTTGAAAAAGTGAAGAAGCTTTAGCGTTCTGATGCAAGCTGTTTTCAAGTTATTTAGAAAAAACAACAGGGTGTGGAACCCCCTTCCCCAGTCGTGATAGGGGTAAAGATTTTCAGGTTGTCATTAAAGTCTCATGCTATGTGGGTAACCCTGTATATTAGAGATTCAACACTAAACACTACTGCAGGATACTCTTACTGTGAAAATATAAATGCAGAAAATCACTAATAAACTATTTATTTTATCAATTTTCATGCAATCGATTTTTAAACTAATATCTTAAGAAATAAATGCTGTCCTGAGTAAAAAACTAGGAAATGTTAGGAGGCATGAAGTACAATAAAGACTTGTAGTTTTAGGAAATGTTAGGAGGCATAAAGTACAATAAAGACTTGTAGTTTTAGGAAATGTTAGGAGGCATAAAGTACAATAAAGATTTGTAGTTTTAGGAAAAATTAGGAGGAAGAAAGTTCAATAAAGATATTTATTTTTAGGAAATGTTAGGAGGCATGAAGTACAATAAAAATATGTAGTTTTATGAAATGTTAGGAGGCATGAAGTACAATAAAGATTTGTAGTTTTAGGAAATGCTGGAGACATAAAGTACAATAAAGATTTGTAGTTTTAGGAAAAATTAGGAGAAAGAAAGTTCAATAAAGATATTTATTTTTAGGAAATGTTAGGAGGCATAAAGTACAATAAAAATATGTAGTTTTATGAAATGTTAGGAGGCATGAAGTACAATAAAGATTTGTAGTTTTAGGAAATGTTAGGAGGCATAAATTACAATAAAGTATATCAATTTTTATGAAATGTTAGGAGGCATAAAGTACAATAAGAATATGTAGTTTTATGAAATGTTAGGAGGCATGAAGTACAATAAAGAATTGTAGTTTTAGGAAATGTTAGGAGACATAAAGTACAATAAAGATTTGTAGTTTTAGGAAATGTTAGGAGGAATAAAGTACAATAAAGTATATCAATTTTTATGAAATGTTAGGAGGCATAAAGTACAATAAAAATATGTAGTTTTATGAAATGTTAGGAGGCATGAAGTACAATAAAGATTTGTAGTTTTAGGAAATGTTAGGAGGCATAAAGTACAATAAAGATTTGTAGTTTTAGGAAAAATTAGGAGGAAGAAAGTTCAATAAAGATATTTATTTTTAGGAAATGTTAGGAGGCATAAAGTACAATCAAAATGGAGAAATAATTGGAGCTGGTGCAGTACTAATCAAATTTTATACATCTGTCAACGTCTCAGCTGTTAAATTATTTGGCACAGCTTCCAGGTGATAACAAAACAGCTAGATTTGGTATTATTATTTTTGGTATTTTTTAACACATTCAAAAATCTGAGATGTTTAATATATCTCAAAATTGTTTTCAATAAATTTTGCTAATATTACATTACATTTTGCGCAATTTTGACTCTTACAGAATATATCTTAGCCGTGAACTTTTGTGTTAAATTCCCTTAACTACGATCATTTGATTTCGATTTCTGCAGTGGACCATTTTTAATTAAACGCAGAATCTGCTTCTTGATTTTGAATATCCGCAATTTTTCTCATTGGTTATACGTAAAATTCCATGGCTTCTGATTGGCTCTCTGTTTTCCACAGACGTGACTGTTCCTGGGATATCGAATACAATTAAATTAATCCGTAGATTAACAAAAGATCGAGATCAACCATTGATCTCGATATCTACGATTCAAGAGTTCTCAGCTCAGGTCAAAACAAAAAACTAAAATAGTTAAATTGTTTTGGTAAATAGCTTAAATTTTTAACTTTTGTCATGGTAAAAATACTACAGCTTTCTTCCAATTTGTAAATATAATTTAATAAATGTAAAAAAAACGAAAATTTATGCAAAGAAAATTTTTTAAAACTTTTTTTTGTCCAAATTTTCTTATTTTATTTTGATTTTAGAGGAGAAAAGATAGATACTGTTTCGTATTCATTTGAAGGAGAAATGATTAAGGAAAATAAAGATTCATTCATTTACTTTCGATTTCGAGTTGGAAAAAAATATATTTTTATTAAATAAAAAAGGTTTTTCATGCTGCTGAAAGGAACCGTAAACATAATTTCCCAAATGTCCAAAACAATCACAGCTATATGTGATTATTAGTTTAAAGTGAATCTTTCCTTTGTTAGCTGTTGACAAATAAGACTGAGTTCCCAGCTGAGATGGTCAGTTATGTTAGTGTCCAGAGACAATTCTTTGAGAGCTTTGTCGGTCAAACTTTCAAGGAAATATATCTTGCTTTAGTTTTGGGAAATATATCTTGCTTTAGTTTAGGGAAATATATCTTGCTTTAGTTTAGGGATATATATATGGCTTTAATTTAGGGAAATACATCTTCTACCAATTTTTACAATTTTATAAAGATTGAATCTTAGGCAAAATTGTAATAAGAAAATTCGCAATTTTTAGTTCTGGTCTAATTTTCTAGTAAAAGTTCTTCAAATCCTCTAGTTTATTTCTTTTTAGTATTTTCTCAAGTTATTATAATACGCTGTTCTTTTGGAAACTGAGTAGCCATTTTTAAATTCTTTAGATTCCACATTTACTTATAAGCACTAACCTCGTGTACTTTAACATTTTTTAAATTCTTTAGATTCCACATAGGGAATCTACCATGCCCCTCTTTTTAAATGGGGGTTACTTAAAATTACGATGACAGTTCCTTTAAAGCGTATTCAATATCTTGTTTTCTTGGACACATTGAAGGTTTAGTTATCATGTCAATCGTTTATACTACTTTTACATTGTTTGTAATATCGTAAAAAATCCCGTTAAAGAGACTTTAAGCGTATTTCAACTGCCTTTCCCTACAAATATGGCAATGCCCGATTCACAACGTTACCCTTGTAAGCTTTGTTAAATAAAGTATGACTAAGATATGAATGTTTTTGTTTCCTTATACTGTTATTTTTATTTGCGGTTTCTCTACGAAAGGGAATTGCGCATTTCTTGTTTATAAGAAGCAATGAAGAAACTTACAGGAAATAAACTCTTTTCTAATCAGAAAAACTACGGTATCTTCCACATTTTTTGATCAGATTAAGATTTCAAGAGTACCATTGTAAATCAAGCTTTGCCATCTTACATAGAGGGTCAGTTGAAATTACGCTTGCAGTCCCTTTAAATCTGATATTTGTGTAAAGTGAAGATATAAAGCCCACTACAGGATTCAGATAAGCTAGGGATGGGATATGCTCTAGTTTTTATTTATGTTAACTTTATGCTCAGGTAAACACTTTTTTCTAAAAGCTTTAGAATAAAAAATTTAAATTTAGAAAAAGCAGGAATTTTTTATTTTAGAATATTTTGTTCGAAGTTACAATTGTTTTGTTCGAAATAACGCATATATTTTGTTTGAAATTACGATGAAAATTTGTTAGATTTCCCAAACTTTCCGTTCATGACTTCGATCAAAATTTTCGTTATTTGTAAGTTTTTTCGTAGTTTAATATTAAGATAAAAAATGTCAGTGTTTTATTTCTAAAAGTGAGCTCTACTGAATTATTAATGCTTAGAGTGAACTGAATACAGTGTGCCCCATAAAGCTCTGAAAAAGAAGGCAGTTTTAAAGTTATGTTTTATAATAGTTTAATAAACATAAAACACAGCAATTATTATTATGTTTATTAAAGTATTATCTACTATTAGTAAAACTACTTACATTAAAAAAATACAAGATTATTTAAATGTCATCTTCATATTACAAAGTATTATGTGTCCCACTGTATAGTGTATATCTATCATAGATTAATAACAATACAGATAGATCACTAAATGTCGTTTTTTAATATCTACGGTTTTTTCGGTTCCCTGAGTCAGAAGCCCAAATAAGTTACGCGCACGCCGCGATTGATGCATACGACATAGACTGTTAAATTATTTCCAAGCTTAAAAAAGATTATTTGATGTTGTTTTGAAAAATGAAGAAATCATGGAAAAGAGACAAAACACATATATTTATTTATTATTTATTTTATATTTATATACAGAAAACTATAAAATAGAAAGACCAATTTTAGAAGATATTATACTTTATAAAGTCTAATAAACAAGAACCACAGTACACCCATTTCACTAAATTAGTGATTCAGTAAGTTTCTTGTAAACCGTTTAGCTTTGTAACAACATTAAATACACTTAAGTGTTGCAATAATGTCGTCTTCATATTCCATTGTTTTCTGGTATTAGTCAGATATTTTTTAGGAATGATCTTGGCGTATGGAGTTTGTTCCGCCTTCGGTTGGTTTTATTCCGCCGCACATACTGTTATTCCATTCCTACTTTTAGGAATAGGAATAGATAACATTTTCGTTATAACACAGGTATTCATTTGAAAGTATTTGAGTAGATCCCACAATATCTGAGTTTTTAAATCCTGTATCTCTGAAACCCATTGGCGTGTATAGACCTTAGATATTTCATACAATGCATTCTTTTGAATCAAATAATCTAAGTTGGAAATATCAAAGGTTTACACCATCAGGTTGCAAAGGTTGCATAAGAGACTAAATTTTTTGTGGCAAGACTTTATTCAGCAGTTGAATATTCACATTTTCTTAGTAAAATTAACTATGTTTGTTTTAGTAATAAGGAATTTCAGCGGCTTTGCCACAAAACTCAATTTTGTTAAAGGGAGTGTTCGCGAAAAATGAAAGGGGGTGTAGGCTTAATGCGATAAAAAAGCGCTTTTGATCACTTCTAATCTTACTTCTATCTGTTGCGTCTATAAGGAGAAAATTGTTATTGACGTCTCATACCGAATAACTTAGCGTCCTTTACAACGGTATCCTTGAAAGCTTTGTCTAATCAAAAAAGTGGAATATAATGTCATATTTCTGAATCAAAAAGTGGTTAATTCTGTAAATCCATTTTAGATCTTATAAGCAAGAAATGCGCAATTCACTTTTGTAAAGAAACTGCGCAAATATAAATAAACAGTTAAAAGAAACATGGATATAAAATCAGACACAGCTTGTATTTGTACGAATGTAAATCGGGCATTGCCATTAAGGGTAACTTGAAATTACGCTTAAACTAAGTTTTTTTTTATCCGAAAAATTCGCGAAAAATTATGGGGGAACATTTTTTCTTTCTCCATCTTTGTTTTTTTTTATTCAGAAACTAGATCCCGATTCAGGAAAAGAGGAATATAATGTCGTATTTCCGACTCAAAAAGTGGTTAATTTTGTTAATCTCTCCATTTTAGATCTTATAAGCAAGAAATGCACATGTGCACTTCACTTTTGTAAACAAACCGCGCAAATATAAATAAACAGTTAAAAGAAACATGGATATAAAATCAGACAAAGTTTGTATTGGTACGAATGTAAATCGCGCAATGCCATCTTTGCATTGAGGGTAACTTGAAATTACGCCTACACTAAGTTTTTTTTTAAATCGGAAAAATTCGCGAAAAAATATTGGGGAACATTTTTTCTTTCTCCTTTTTTGTTTTTTTTTTTATTCAGAAACTCGATCCCGATACAGGCATGCATGCAAAAGATCAGAGGGAAATCACTAGTAACATAGTCGGAAGGCTTCATCGGCCTTTTGGAGGGGGAAAATGCGGGAAAGGGGGGATTGTATAAGGAGAGGGGGAAATGCATTCAAGTGGTCCGACCCAAAGTTAGTGACTTTTGACACCCCGCATGGACCGAACACAAAAATTATGGGAACATTTTTTTCCCCATTTTTGTTTTTGATTTAGAAACTAGATCAAAATTCAGGCCTGCATGCAAAAAATCAGAGAGAAATCACTAAATCAAAAATTGTATGGAAATGTGGACATTCCCTTTATAAAGGTTTTTTATTAATCTAGGCTTATGATACATTGGAGTCAAGTGGAGTTCCTCTTAGCCTGGGGAAAAGGTGCGGATTTGTTCATATGATTTTGTTTATAGTTTGAAGTAATTTAAAACAAGAATATAAATCATTTGAAAAGTGTCAAAGAAGTCAGTAATCTTCTGACAAAAAATCAAGTTTCGTTTTTTTTCAAACTGAAAATAACATCTTTTGAACTGTTTATTGTTTACTAGACTGTAGAGCGCTTCGCGCTCATTTTCTATTTCAACTTTTAATCATAGCTCTTCTGTGAGCATGTTCTCTTTGTACAGTATAAAACTATAACAAAAACAGTTCGCGGATTTACAAGTATTCTTTCGCACATTTTCAAACTTTTACAAAAATCAAAAACTTTTGGAAACACATTTTTGCAATTTTAAGCATCCACAAACCTTCGATCCGGGGTTATGTGAGGAAATGAGTTTTTGGCACAAACACTTAACTTTTTCCCCTATATCTTAACAACCAGATATCGTAGACAGATATTTGATATTTCAAACTATAAATTATATTAGATTAAGTACCCTAAGTTTGAAATATCGTCGGTTTACACCATCGGGTTGCAAAGACAAAGGGATTATAAAATTTGAGTTTGTGGCAAAAATTCAATACCTTTGGGCCCAGTCGGTTTAGTCGCTTTGACGTTTATTGGATACAAACAGTAAAGTATATACGAGAATAAATGTTTCCATATGGTTTAAGGTTTGGGAAAACGATGGGTCACGCTGGTGTTGCTGTATCGGTCACCACGTTTACCGACGTATTCGCCTTCCTTGTAGGATCTAATACTGTTCTACCTGGCTTAGGAATACAAAATATAGACAAAATATGGATTTTTTAATACTTCAAAACACGTCAAAAATATAAAATTAGATCGAAATATTACGCGTTTTCATTTGCAATCAAAACTCATTTTTTGAGTTTTACATCAATATTTAAAATCTAGACAATTTTGTATCTATTTTCCATCTATATTTAAAATCTATTGAGTTTTTATACCTTTTCTCTAGCAATATTTAAAATCTAGAGAGTTTTTATACCTTTTCTCTAGCAATATTTAAAATCTAGAGAGTTTTTATACCTTTTCTCTAGCAATATTTAAAATCTAGAGAGTTTTTATACCTTTTCTCTAGCAATATTTAAAATCTAGAGAGTTTTTATACCTTTTCTCTAGCAATATTTAAAATCTAGAGAGTTTTTATACCTTTTCTCTAGCAATATTTAAAATCTAGAGAGTTTTTATACCTTTTCTCTAGCAATATTTAAAATCTAGAGAGTTTTTATACCTTTTCTCTAGCAATATTTAAAATCTAGAGAGTTTTTATACCTTTTCTCTAGCAATATTTAAAATCTAGAGAGTTTTNTGCAATGTTTGGACAAATAGTTGCGCCTCTTCTGCATAAATCCGCAATCGAAAAATAACAAATTTTCAGTTGGAAAACCAAGGATACCTCCATATTTTTACTTAGCCAGCTTCTAGCTGGGTTTAGAAGAATGTACTGTCTTGAATCGGTATTGTATACTTAATTAAACTGAGAAGGGACAGCTCCATTTTGCTCTTTTCATTTTCATTCCTGAAAATACTGTTTCTATCCTTTTTAAATAAAATGTACACTTTGCTTCGAAGATCATTTTCATCCATCTTTCTAGTTTAGCAACATTTTTATATTGATGATAAAAATAATTTTGAAAGAATATTTCAGATAAATTTTTCATTAAACTTTATTTTTATATGGCTGCCCCCCCCCCAAAAAAAAAGCCATTGCTTAGGTCTCTGAAAAGGTGAGCTCGCAGGAAGGGTTTCCAGCGGAAAAGATAAATTTTGCATTTTTGCGCATTCGTTGCGTTGAGTAAAAAATGCACAAATTTCCGGAATTTGCGGAATACACAGACAAATTTGCGTATTTTTGCGCGAAAGTTTGCTTCCGCTATATAAACCCTAATCGCAGGTGAACAAGAAATAAAAAGTTTGTACTATTACTAGTACAGGAAGTACTATTACTAGTACAGGAAGCCTAGAATTTATTAATTTATCATCTTTGTTGTAGGTGTTCTTATTCATTGGAAACCAGTTGGTGAAATTCCCCATCAAGGAATTAATCCAATATTCAAATTTTAATCATTTGTAAAATTCAGAATTTAATGATTTTTATAGGTGTACATTTATTTTTATTCCAGTGGCAGGATCCAACCTCAAGTCTCTAAAATCTAAATTATAATTGTAAGAGACAGAGAAACCTCAAATAAATGTGTGTACAAATGTAGATAAAGACGTAGATACAGATTTAGTAATCAACGCTTTTGATTCTGATAATTACTTTTTTATCATGATTTTTTCAATTAAATGTTTTGGAAATGTATTTAAAAGAAGTATAAGTAATAATGATCAAATATTGAAAAGTATAGATATGTGTTTTGGTGTTGACAGTTCTATATCTGGTAGGAGGTATATGGGGTACACTCTCATTAACACAGGTATTCATTCATTCATTTATTTATTCATCCTTTCATCCTTTCATTCTTCCCATTCACCCATCTATTCATTCGCCTATATAATCCTTTATTAATTAACTTATTCATTATCTATTTCAACTTTTAATGTAACCATTATTATCATTATTAACAATTTAATTGTTATTTTAAGATATTGTTATGACTTTTATTATTATTATAATTGTTAATATTATTATCAATAATATTATTGCTGTTGCAGGAGTACTTACCAGAATGGCTGCTACCCCCTGAATCTGAAGTTTCAAAGGAAATCAATTAATTGAAAATATTTTGAAAGCAAAAAAATATTTATGATTTTTAAAAAATTTGAAGAAAAGATTATTACGACTAATAGGAATTCAATTAAAGCAATGGAACATGTAGCTTAGCTGGTAATTGAGATACATATGGTGTCAAAAAAGAATAGAATTTAAAATTTTAACTTTTCAACATGGTTGATAAACAAACAATCTAAAAGAGTCATAAAACAACAGATACCAGTTATTATTAATAAGGATTTCCCTCCATAAGGATTCTGCAGGATTCTTTAGTTTTTTTGCTATTTTTAAGCTGGCCACACTCATTTTACAGCTCAGTCATTTTTCAGCAAGCTGCGACATTCGACCACAACTTGACTAAATCTAATTTTTTGCCTTTATTTTATTTATTCTGCGGGTGCGTTTTAAATAAAAACATATTATAAGACCACTCTGCAAGTTTACAGGTTGATGAATTATAGACCAAAACCTATCATAAGACCACTCTGCAAGTTTACAGGTTGATGAATTATAGACCCAAACCTAAAATAAGACCACTCTGCAAAAACAAGCTATTACTCAGGCTCTAAATGTCACACAGGGACACAAGCGTAGCTATAAAACAAGCTATTACTCAAGCTCTAAATGCCTTACAGGGACACAAACGTAGCTATCAAACAACAGGCTCTAAATGCCACACAGGAATACAAGCTATAAATCGATCCCAAATGATTGGGACGATCCAGTGCTTTAAATGCCACACACGGACACAAGCCCAGCTATCAAACAAGCTTTCCCAAATGATGGGGATGATCCGCTTTAAACGCCACACAGGGACACAAGCTTTGGCTATCTATCAAGCCCTTAATTGATCTCTACCCTGTACTGAGGAAGGATATCAACTGAAGTACAATTACTCTACACTGTAATCAAAGCAAAGTTCTGATCCTAACTAATGTATTTAAGGTTTATATGTTACAACCTATAGCTATATACAATGAGCAATGAGCTGTTATGCTCACAGACAAAACTACCTGCAATCAGAGCTTAGCTTAGCTTAGCTGGTTACACTAGCGTTATCTTGTAGTGTTTTATGTGTGTAGCGTTTTTCTAGGTACACCATTGAAATCTGTTAAGAATTTTTTAGCTAAGAGGTCAAGCTAGTATAGCCGGTAAAGGATAGGGTTGGGCCGGTACTTGCCGTGCGTCACCTAGGCCAGTAAATGGGGTCGGTCCGGTTCAATTTAAAATTGACCCTAGTCCACAGTGAGCGGAACGGTTCAGGGCTCCCATTAGTCCGAACAGTTTACGAGCATCTGTTTAAATCTTTGACTAAAAGTTCTTTGTTTAATTTTCTAAAAAGGATTTTTTGGGACACCATGTTTTTTTAGAAATGAAGAATTAATTAATGTAGTGGTTTGTGAGCAAAGGTGAATATTTCCCCTCTGTGGGGGAACCAGGGGTTATTCTTATCTCACAAATAAACATCCCTCAGGTATCTATCTATCTATCTATCTATCTATCTATCTATCTATCTATCTATCTATCTATCTATCTATCTATCTATCTATCTATCTATCTATCTATCTAGGAGTTTGAAAGAATAGATGAACTGGTGGAGAAAATGAAGTCCCGAACTGAAAATATTGATGAAATAAATTCCTGGCATTCTCATTTCAGGTTCAAATTGACTTATATCTTCCATCTTTTAAACTGTCAACATTTTTTAAGTTTAAAATATTTCAAAATTGTATGCATTGAAAGTCTCGACGCCTGAACGATTTTTAAAATCATTTGTTAGACAATTGATTTATTTTCGTTCTTATGTCAGAGTCGAAATTTTGCATAACATGAGAAAAGTTTTTAAGTTTCGTAAAAGTCAAAAATCCTAGAATAACACTAAGAAAGGATAATACTGATGGTCAATTTTAGCGTTCTAATATTCATTTTTTCGAAAAAAATTGGAATTTAAACTTTTTACAGATACAAAATGTTTTAATTTTAGGGAGTATATTGAAACGTACAAACAAGGGAATACTAGTTTTCAGGTATTATCATTATTTAAAATCTTAAAGAAACTGCATAAACGTAATTTTAAGTTATTCTCCATGCATAGATGGCGATGTCAGATTTACACCCGGCCTTATAACAAGCTTTGTCTGAATTATGTATATATATGAATTATATGTTTAACAAAGTTTATCATTTGGAGAGCTGATTATTTTCTATTGTGGTTTCTCTACAAAAGTGACTTATCTACTGCAAGAAAATGCAAGGAATGAACAGAATTAAACACCGTTAAACCAAGAAAACGATGATATCTTCTACATTATTGATCAGATAAAGAATTTTCAATTTAAGGACACTGTTGTGAATCGAACATTGTCATTTTTGCATGGAGGGTCACTTGTAATTACGCTTACAGACCCTTACCAACGAACAAAAGTCCCAAAGTCCACTTTAACTCGTAAATAGTTGTTTCAGAACTCGACTTTAAGCATATATTTTATATATTTTATACCACTTTTGGACGAGATTTTTCAGTTCGGCAAAAAAGTCTACTTTTATATAGTTTTTTATATACGTATATATTTCAGTTTTTATATACGTATATATTTCAGTTTTTTCCTTTGTTAAGTTTATCAAATTGTCAGATTAGTGCTTGGTATTTTATTTTCTTCGTTTTTTAGACTTATGAGATATTTGGACTTTTAAGATTTTGGGACTTTTGAAAAGTTTTATAAATTTCAAAATCTTCTTTATAAGCTTTTGCTTTTCTTAAACTATGTGTTTTAGAGAGTAGATATTTGCATGAACAGACTGATAAACAAAACAAAAACGATCGATTATCTGATCGATAATGTGATCGATTATCTGATTGATTATCTGATTGATTATCTGATCGATTATTTGATCGATTATCTGATCGATTATCTGATCGATTATCTGATCGATTATCTGATCGATTATCTGATCGATTATTTGATCGAAAATGTGATCGATTATCTGCTCGATTATTTGATCGATTATCTGAACGATTATCTGATCGATTTTTTGATCGATTGTTTGATCAATTATCTGATCGATTATTTGATCGATTATTTGATCGATTATCTGATCGATTATCTGATCGATTATCTGATCGATTATCTGATCGATTATCTGATCGATTGTTTGATCAATTATCTGATCTGATCGATTATCTGATCGATTATCTGATCGATTATTTGATCGATTATTTGATCGATTATCTGATCGATTATCTGATCGATTATCTGATCGATCTTTTGATAGATTTTTTGATCGATTATCTGATTGATTTTTGATCGATTATCTGATCGATTTTTTGATCGATTATCTGGCTAGATTTGTAGTCGGTTCACATGGAAACATCTTCTCTGAGAGTATTTACATGGTGTAAGAAAATCAAATGTTTTGAAAAATCATTTTTTAAATTTGTTCAGAAACCTTAAATCTTAAAAAGAACGCAATCAAATGCTGAACACTACGTCAGATCGGGGGTTTTCAATTTCACTCTGAGACCATCAGGATTCACTCTTGTATGCCGAGTTCATTTGCGCCTGATCCAATCAGGGTTCAGCCATGTGTTTGGTGTCTATTCTAAACCAATAAAAATTGCATGGCGGTAACATCTATTATTCTATCTCATTATCCAATTAGAAATAAATACTTATATCGGCGCTTTACACTTTATGGAAATATTTACTTCTATTGAAACTATAGTGGATTATATGGAATATTTGTGAAGCTTTTACAAGTTAATTAATCTATGTATCAGATTCATTTTTAATTATGATATTTTAATATTGAATTAAGGTGGGTTTAATTGATTTCCAAATATCCTTCAAGATTATGAATTTATCAAATTGTCTCACAAATCCCAAACCTGACCCAGGGTACAATACTTTGAAATTTCAACAAAAGATCGACAAAAAATATTATGTGAAAAAAATTAAAGAAGAAGAAAATTAAATCTCAAAAAAAAACACAGTTAAATGTTATTCACAATAAATTGTGAAATGCAATTTGTAATTCAACGTTTGTATTTTCTTTTTAATTCAGGATTTGATTAAAGATGACGCATACTTTAGAAAGAAGCTTACGCAATTTCTCTTCAGTCCTAAGGTACTATTGATAATTGCTGGTTTTCGAAACCAAATAATCACTCGCCTCGAGCTTTAATTTTTTAATCCCTAAACCTTTGCAACCTGATGGTGTAAAAATTTGATATTAAAAATTTTTTAGCCACCGAAACTGAGTTCATTGTGAATTCCATATTTCTTTTTTGTACAGTAAATAAATTCTCTAATGGCCCACTTTTAGAAAATCCGGTACCTTGCCGGGCCAACTTTGAACCTGCTGGACAAGCTGTTTATTACATAAAGAGCCAATATAAAACAAAAAGGGTCAGTGCACCAAATAAACAATCTCCTTCTAGTAAAGTTTAAGGGACTAGAAAATCAGAGTTTGTCGAAAAGGCTCAATTCATTTAAAAATAATAGGACAAGAACATTTCTTATCAAAACTTATTTTTAAAGTTATTGACAAAACATTGATTTGCTCATAGAAATCTTATATATACTCATTCAGACCAGCCTGGTCCTGGGGCGAATCTAGGAATTTTTCCAGGGGTATGAAGGGGGGGGCCGGGGGGCTAACTGGTTTTGATCTTCCAGGGGGATAAAACCCCCTGAAAAATAGATTTTTTTAGCCCCTTCAGATTTATTTCCCTGGCAAAGTATTCTACAGGGAAGTGTTGGNCAGGGATTTTTGTCGGATTACATTTGCTTTCTGAAGCTTATACTTTTCTTTCAATAAACTAACTCCAACTTAATCAAACAAATCTGTTCTATTGATGGAAGCTTTTAGTCTAATCCTTTAAGTTGGATTAGAAAACATTAATTCAAATGCAGAGTATTCTAGTATTTTCAAAATATTCAGTGTTTCTGTTTCTTTAAGGAACTTAAGCGTAATTTGAAGTGAACCTCTTTGCAAAGATGTCAATACCCGTATAGACCGATGCCCTTAAAACCTTCATCCATGATAACGTCTTTTTTTTCTGTCTCGAAAACTGTTTAATCCTGAAAACTTATCCATAGTTTCTTCTAAGCAAGAAATGCGCAAGTCACTTTTGCAGAGAATCCAAAAAAGAAAATAAACAGTTTTAATTAAAAAAGCATGTTTACCTAATTCATACTTGATAAAGACGAAGATTTTAAGGGTACTGTTGTAATGAGCGGGGAAATACAGGCTGCAATAAGCCACAACCGTTTTCCTTTCCATGCCTCCACATATTAGCTGTTTTGTCTTCTGGCAGCTATGAGCCAAAACTATTGGGTCTTTTATGCCACAACATTTTTGCCTTTCGACAATACTTACGTTTTAACACAGAACTAGAAATTTTACTAACAATCAAACATGTCACGAATCTATTTTGAAATTTTGTTCAGGGAGCAATCTATCAAGCAAATTTTTGGTTTGCTGAGAAATTGGTTTGCGGTAAACCAGCACCAGATATACTGCTCCAGGTAGATTTTAAGTCAGCTTGCACCAGATATACTGCTCCAGGTAAGATTAAAGTCAGCCTGCACCTAATATACTGCTCCAGGTAGGTTTACAGTCAACCTGCACCTGATATACTGCTCCAGGTAGGTTTACAGTCAACCTGCACCTGATATACTGCTCCAGGTAGGTTTGCGGTAAACCTGCACCAGATATACTGCTCCAGGTAGATTTTAAGTCAGCTTGCACCAGATATACTGCTCCAGGTAGGATTAAAGTCAGCCTGCACCTAATATACTGCTCCAGGTAGGTTTACAGTCAACCTGCACCTGATATACTGCTCCAGGTAGAGTTACAGACAGCGTGCACCAGATATACTGCTAAAGGTAGGTACACAATCAGCCTGCACCTGATATACTGCTCCAGGTAGGTTTACAGTCAGCCTGCATCTGATATACCATGCTTAAGGTAGGTAATTATTGTTAGTCTTCACCAGATATATTGCTCCGGGTAGGTACACAGTCAACCTGCACCTGATATACTGCTCCAGGTAGGGTTACAGTCAGCCTGCACCTGATTTACTGCTCCAGGTAGGGTTACAGTCAGCCTGCACCTGATTTACTGCTCCAGGTAGGGTTACAGTCAGCCTGCACCAGATATACTGCTCCAAGTAGGTTTACTGTCAGCCTGCACCTGATATACTGCTCCAAGTAGGTTTACTGTCAGCCTGCACCTGATATACTGCTCCAGGTAGAGTTACAGTCAGCCTGCACCATATATACTGCTCCAGGTAGGGTTACAGTCAGCCTGCACCTGATATACTGCTCCAAGTAGGTTTAATGTCAGCCTGCACCTGATATACTGCTCCAAGTAGGTTTACTGTCAGCCTGCCCCTAATATACTGCTCCAAGTAGGTTTACTGTCAGCCTGCACCTGATATATTGCTTCAGGTAGGTTTATGGTCAGCCTATACCCGATATACTGATTCAGGTAGGTTTACGGTCAACTTACACCAGCACTCCAACCCCCCCCCCCTTACCTAAACAAATATCCTAATTGTATATCTTATTAAAACTATTTACATTTGTTATAATGATAGAAATGATAATTATATAAAACTTATTTTTCCATATTTCAGGCAATACCTTTTTCTCATTTACGTTTTGAGCGTTCAAGTGAATGGATTCCTGCAATGGAAGAGGTAGAGGAGATAGTGGAATCAATTCCATTCAGGAAATTCATACATCCTTTCACAATATATTCATTTGATAATTCCAAACTAAATAATAATGGTGTCTATCTCTAGGAAATCTATTAAATATCGAGAGTTAGAGACACCTAGAGGCTGAAATATTGTCGTCAATTTGCATCGTACATAAATCAGCCTATACCCACTTTCTTCTTTTCGCGAACACTCTCTTTAAAGTCAAAAGAATTGTATCCTCTAAATCTGTGTCCAATCAAAGTTGATTATGATATCCTCGTTTTTTCCATCTTAAAATTTATTATTTCCAATTGAGGTTTCTCTATATGCACGTATAACATTGATCTTCGTCGGAATTTTTTTTAATTCATTTTTGCTCAGATGAGCGTATAAGGGGTACCGTTGTGAATGAGAAGTCACTTTAAATTATGCCGACAGTCCATTTATGAATCATCTATAAATACAGGGTTTTTCAATAAACATGGGAATTCAGTGACGACTTTGATATCGTCTTCGATCCATTTATCATGAACATAATTACTGCAGTATTCCAGCTTAAACATCTAATATCTAAAACGCCTGGTCCTGAGATTTAAAAAATGTGGTCTAAATATTTTGAATCTTTAAAATTAAAGGAGATATTGCAAAATTTGTGCAACTTTCAATTTATTTAATAAATCAAACTTGTCTTAATATCTTATATATCCATCAATTTTTATGACACAAGAAAGGTAGACCAATTTATAAAAAGCCTCGTTTTTTTACTTTCTTTCTAATGCATTACATATCAGAAATAAAAGACGACTTTCAATTCGTCTCTCAATAGCCATGTTTATTGGGACACCCTGTATATACAGTACGAATATCATGCGTTTTTATTATAAAATAATCTTTTAATTTTTTCCTTTTTAAACCTTGTAAAATGTATGATTATTTTTAGTAACTACTCATTTCCGATAGCTCTAACGTATATAAACTGGAAAACTGATGCTATTGTTGGTACGGAGCTTTTAAGGTATGATGTTAAAGAGACCACTGTATATTTGATAGATATTGATTTCTAACAATACACAGTTTTAAGGTATAATATTAAAGAGACCACTGTATATTTGATAGATATTGATTTCTAACANCTTTGATCTGTATATTTCTAGAAATGCCGGGATAGATTTGACCTGTATATTTCTAGGAATGTAGTGATAGCTTTGATCTGTATACTTCCAGGAATTTCAAAATAACTTTGATCTTTATATTTCTAGGAATGTCTGGGATATCTTTGATCTGTATATTTCTAGGAATGCCGGGATAGCTTTGATCTGTATATTTCTAGGAATGTAGTGATAGCTTTAATCTGTATATTTCCAGGAATTTCAAAATAGCTTTGATCTGTATATTTCTAGGAATGTCTGGGATAGCTTTGATCTGTATATTTCTAGAAATGCCGGGATAGATTTGACCTGTATATTTCTAGGAATGTAGTGATAGCTTTGATCTGTATACTTCCAGGAATTTCAAAATAACTTTGATCTTTATATTTCTAGGAATGTCTGGGATATCTTTGATCTGTATATTTCTAGGAATGCCGGGATAGCTTTGATCTGTATATTTCTAGGAATGTAGTGATAGCTTTAATCTGTATATTTCCAGGAATTTCAAAATAGCTTTGATCTGTATATTTCTAGGAATGTCTGGGATAGCTTTGATCTGTATATTTCTAGGAATATCGGGATAGCTTTGTTTGATCTGTATATTTCTAGGAATATCGGGATTGCTTTGATCTGTATATTTCTAGGAATGTAGTGATATAGCTCTAATCTGTATATTTCCAGGAATTTCAAAATAGCTTTGACCTGTATAATTCTAGGAATGTCTGGGATATCTTTGATCTGTGCATTTCTAGGAATTTCAAAATAGCTTTGATCTGCATATTTCTAGGAATGTCGTAATTCAGCTTTGATCTGTTTATTTCTAGGAATGTGGGGATAGCTTTGATCTGTATATTTGTAGAAATGTCGTAATTTAGCTTTGATCTGTTTATTTCTAGGAATTTGGGGATAGCTTTGATCTGTATATTTCTAGGAATGTCGTAATTTAGCGTTGATCTGTATATTTCTAGGAATGTGGGGATAGCTTTGATCTGTATATTTCTGACAACTCTGATCAGCCTGGGTAGCTGGAGGGGTAGCCTTCTGGTCATGATGTGCGTCCTTCTAACCTGCATAGGTAGTATTGATGGGCGACCTTCTTACCTACATAGTAAGTATTGATGGGCGTCTGTCTTACCTACATAAGCAGTATAAAGGGACATCTGGCGTATACAGGATTAAAACTAGAAGTTTATGCGTAATTGTTGGACAAATGGAATTTCAGGAGAAATATTCAACATGTTTTTTTATGTTTTCCAGTTTTACAAGGGATATGATTAGATTCTTCCTCCCTTCTTTTACGCTGTTGGGTTGTACTTATTTCATTTTATATGTTTCCTTTTATTCTATCTTTCATTATTATATAATTCTAAACCTTTGCTATTTTTATTTATAATTCTAGCTAATTATTATTCATTAATAGTTAAATAGAAGAAAGAGTATAAAAGAGATGTCAACGAAAGTTTAAGTGAATTTGAATTTGAATTAAAATTTTCAAAGATTTCAATTTTGATTTGAAGAACTTGGTAAAGGCTTACGGCGAAAAATAATTGCTTTTGATCGTTACTATAATATTAGCTCTATCTGTTGCATCTGTAAAGAGAAAATTGTTAAAAACGTCTCATACCAAAGAACGTAGAGTCCATACAAATTGAGAAAGTTGCAACATACAACTGGGATCGTAAAAAATCAATTTAATATCAAACAAATCATTTAGATATTAAACCTTATAGTCATCGGCAATTTTTGGACTCATTCTTATACATTTGATATTTCATAATGTTTTTATTTGTTATATACACAATGCAATTGAAACAACGATTTTTTTCCGTTAGGTGTCTTTGCCACGTGGAAACATTAAGAGCATCGAGTGCTCGAGACACCTGGCGGACAAAATAATCGGCGTTTAATTGCTTTGTATAATGTAAATAAAACAAATACAAAATATTATGAAATATCAAATGTACACAAATCCGTCGAAATCATCTTATTTTTCGCGAACACTCCCTTTAAAGATGTCTTTAATTTTTGATATCTATATTAAATATATACATATGAAAATACAGAGTATCTAAGATGTTTTCATTCCAAATGCATGGTGAACTTCTAGATAAAGCTTTCCACTTTTTCTAACACTCGTTTTGAAGCTATTAGAGATCATAATTTTGTCTCTCAGCTGTTATTCATAGTGGGGCACCCTCTAAAAATGTGGTGTAATGATAGGCTGTAACTATTCTATTTTAACTTTTTATTGTGATTTTCTTCTTCTTGTACAATATAAACAATAACAAATTAATCACCGATTTAATAATATTTTTGTCAAGCATTTTCAAAATTTAACAAAAAGCTAAATTTTGTTGGCATACATAAAACTTTTCTGGGGTCATGTGAGATCCCACACAGAATTTTTCCCCGAACGGTTCAGCCGTTTTGACGTTTAATGGACACAAACGGACAGAGAAACAGACAGAAAGACAGGCAAAGTAAATATATGGATACACAGAAAAGAACTCTCTATATCATGTTTACCCATTAATGATATATAAATACATAGATGAGAAATGCATAATCACATAATACGCCACTGTTTTCTACTCTGTTTTTTTCTACATTTTTACATTCCTTTCTGAGAAAGTGCAGCAGTTACGGTTTTCGGCGAAATGGGGAAATCGTTTCGAGAAAATTTCGAATCTTTCGAGTAAAAAATTGAATAACCAAAAATTGCGGAAATTTTCGTTTTTTTCGCGATATTTCGCGAAAATTACAGATTTTTTTTTGTTGCAATTTTTCGCGTTATTGTCGAATATTTTGCTTTAGTTTCACGAAATTCCGCATCGTTTTCACTTCCTTTCGCAAAATTCATTTTCGCGAAAAAAATGCGAAAGTTTTTGTTCCCTGGAGACCCTAGCAGCACTTTTTGCATATACAGTAAACACTCGATTCAAAGGGTTCCTGGTTTGTCTTCCTTGATACGCTAAAATCTCATGATTCTTGATTAAACGGATTTTTTATTTAGATGTAACTGGGTTCATGCACTGGTGGGGCCTCACTATTGATATAACATCGATGAATGTAATAATAATCAGGTAAGCCATCATGGATAGATCATCAATGGAAATACTAGTTTAAATAACACTGTAAACTCCGGTTCATTTCAAGTACCAGGTCCACTTTTCACTATAGCTTCTAGTTAAATTTATGTGATAATAATATTCATAAATATCATTTATTTTATAAATTTATGTGATAATAATAATCATAAATGTCATTTATTTTATAAATTTATGTGATAATAATAATCATAAATGTCATTTATTTTATAAATTTATGTGATAATAATAATCANATCTAACTAACTAACTAACTAACTAACTAACTAACTAACTAACTAACTTACTAACTATCTATTCATCTATCTATCTATATATATATCTATATATCTATCTATCTATCTATCTATCTATCTATCTATCTATCTATCTATCTATCTATCTATCTATCTAGTGTTGGTTTATGTGTGGACTTTTGCGCTCACATTGTACATGGTTTCTTAACAGGACAGGGAACAAGGTAATTATTGATTTATTGATTGCTACATTGATTAATAGGTTTACTTATTGATTTATTGACTGCCTTATTAGTAATCAAAAATCGATTGATTGACTAAGTAAGAGATAAACTATTTGATTTATCACTTGATTAATCAAATGATTGATTTTTGATTGCCTCATTAGTCGTTATTCATTAAATCATCGGTTAAATTGTTGATTGTTGTATTGTAAAATAGGTTTACTAATAAATTCATTAATTGATTTATCAACTAATTGATTCATTGACTCATCGATTGAATGATTTATTGATTGCTCAATTGATAGATAGGTTTACTAATTGATTTTTGAATTGCTTTATTGACTGTCTCATTAGTCTTCGAATCATCGATGGATTGATTTGTTGATTGCTTAATTGATCATTTATTAGGTTTACTAATTGATTTACTGTATAACTCATCAACTAATTGATTTCTTGACTCATTAGTTATCAATTAATAATTAGTTTATTTACAGAATAATTGATAATTTTAATTTAATTATCAATTAATAATTAGTTGATTTACAGAATAATTGATAATTTTAATTTAGTTATCAATTAATAATTAGTTGATTTACAGAATAATTGATAATTTTAATTAAAAATTATTTTACCTTCTGATATGGACAAAACAAACTTTAATTGAACGAAGAAAACTGTGAAACACGAAGAAGGAAACACGAAGAAGTTAGATAGTTATATTTCTTGTTCATTGGATTTAAAAACAAAAATTAAGATGATCCAGGAGATATTTGTTCTAATATATTGTTGTATTGTAGAGAGGAGCGGGTTCTCTACGTGATGGAAAAGGTTGCCCCTGCTGTTATGAACGGAGGGTTTAGTACCATTCTTGCTCTTTCACTTTTAGGTAAATACAGGGTTACCCACAAAGGATGAGATTTCAGAGTTTCTTTCTTGATCCAATCAGTGAATAAAAATACTTTGTTTGAAATAGAAGACGGAATTTACCTTTGGATCGTCATATATTAAGTCGTCTTTACAGTCTCATGCTATGTGGGTAACACTGTATGCATAGTAATTTTTTTTTGAAAATCTTAAATCTGATTTGGGCTGATAATTTTTTGCTCTTTCTTTTTTATCATTTATTTTTACAAATTTGATTGATTGAACAATTCTATTTAGATTAATTTAACGTATGTTTTTGATTTAACATAAAGACCGGGGGTGGAATAATATTACTCTTCCCCCTCCCACGTAGAAAAGAAAAATGGGAACTGCAATACCCCCTTAATTGGAAAAAATGGAAAAGCTTTCCCCTCCCCTGATTTCTTGTTTACTCCCCTGAGCAAAACATGAATTCAAATCAAAAACTTATTTTGAAAAATAATTAGCAGCACATTTTGAAAGAGTAAAAAAAACCTTTTTTCAGTTACTTCACGTTCCCATATTTTTATATCCTTCTTTAAAATCTTCCTCTTGATTTGTCTATTCGGCCTCTTCCATGGTCTCGTCACACTTCCGGTCGTCCTAGCCTGTATTGGGGCGACGGAGGAAAACTCAGGTAAAATATGAAAACGACTGTATGTAAAAAAAATTGAAAACCGAGGCCGAATTTAAAGAATTTTAACTATGCCTAGAGTTTAGACGCGGTTCAATCATGGTTGGTGCAGCTGGAAATTTTAATAAGTATTTCGAGATTTGAGCCGCGCTCAATTGGAACCGGTTATTGGTGGTTCATCGACACGGTTCAAATTCTTTAAATTTGGCCTCCTCGCGTACGCATTTTTATTGTCAACAACTAGAAAATTCCAAAGTCAAAATTTCAAAAGTTGCATGATCTGGTGTAGTGTTTACTCATACAAGCCCTTCTAGTCTACCCAGTATGTGGTTGACCCAGCGTGTTTTATGCAACATAATTAGGCTGGCTGATCTATTTTGTGAACAGGATTGTATTTATGTTTTTAAAAGTAACTGCAAGTGCAAAAGTCATTTTTTCATGTTAAGAGTATTTATTCCAAATTCACGGCATTAACCTTTGAACCTCTATCTCACGTAGAACTAACTACATTGAAGTAAACACTTGTCAAGGAGTATGTTCAGTCACATTTTCATTTCTCATAACTGCATTCACAGCCTGTTCAGAATTGACTCACTGCACTTTTAACCAGAGGCCGAATTTAAAGAATTTGAGTCGCGGCTTAAATATGGTTGGTTCCACTTAAAATTGTATTCAATGTTTCAAGATTTAGGCAGGAGCTCAATTGAAACCGGTTTCAGGCGGATTTGAGACGGGACTCAAATTCATTAACTTCGGACTCAGAACATGGATCCTGTTGTGAATCGGACATGCCATGCCATCAATGATCTTCTAGAATTGTTGAACTAAAAGAAGGTTTATACTTGAATAAGCTGTATCATGATCCTAATAAGTGCACTTGTCTCATATTAAGATATTTCTTTATTTAGAAAATAAAGAGGAAAAGGGAAATGACCAAACTGCTGATGTCGATGAAGGTTTCAGGTGAGTGAGTTTTATATATTTAACCCTGATTTCACACTCATTTGTAAAGATGGGAATACTTTTTTTAGGTTTGTTTTTACATATTTAAGATGTTTTTGACATCTAGGAGGCTCCGAAAAAATTAAATTGATTGACTAAAATTATTTTTAAGCTATTTAAAATGAATTCTTATCCAGATTGATTAAATCAATTTTTAACTGTGAGAGTAAAAGTTTCGCACCAATTTATAAAATTTGACTGAACCAATCAGGCCCAAATTTTGTAACTGACTCTGGAGAGGTATATGAACGAAAAAAATAGAAAAATTTGCCTGAACAAAAATAGAGTGAAAATCCACTAATTCGAACAGAAAAATTGCAAAGAAACTGAGTTTTAGTCCCAAATTCTGATTTTCAAATCGCTATATCTTTGTAACCTGATGGTGTAAACCTTCGATATTTCAAACTATCATTATTTGATCTAAAATAATTCATAGTTTGAAATATCTAAGGTTTCCGACATTGATAAGCAAAGATATAGGGATAAGAAAATCAGAGTTTGTGACAAAAACTCAAATCCTTTTTCCATTTTGTACGAGAATATACAAATTTAAATTTTTTTTGACACAAATAGAATTTTTCCGTCCAATCTTCCTTGCTCATCAACATTTTTGCGTAAATTGCTTATTTCCATAGAACAGCTATGTGTATTTGATGTTGTTACAAAGCAACTGGCTTTACTAGACACTATTGAATCACTAATTATGTAAAAATGGGCCTGTTCACCAACTGTCATGTTTTCTGCAGGACACCCTGTATATAAATGTATTATTACATAATTACAGTGAGCTGGAGACTAATCTACAAGCAAAGATGGGACAGAATAATCCAATTATCAAAATCAAACAATTCAGGAAATTATTTAGAATTTTCACATGGATCTGAGATGAACAAAAATGTGCGGAAAGATGCCGCTGATGATGTAGAGATTGTACCAGAAGAAATAGTTCTGTTAAGTACAACAGGAGCAGCTGAAGTTGAAAATCCGCCAAACTGTGAGAATACCTCAAACAATAACCAAGAACTAGAGAAATTATCGCTTAAAAATCTAGAATGTTCGAATGAAAGTGCGGCAGAAAAATCGACGAAAAATTTTACCTTAAATAAGATTTTACGTCATTCTAGAAACAAATCAGTGATGCTAAAAAAATGCCCAGAACAAAATACCTCAAACCAGAATTTAGAATCTGCAGGAAATGTTTAGATTCGAGGCTGTTCCTTTTCAACATTACAATGGTCGACCAGATAATATCTCCAACTGTGTGCGTCCTAAGTATCTATCTATCATTCTATTAAATAAGAATCTAGCTTGAGACATCTAGCGCCAGCGGCAAAGCCATCGCCCCCCAATGTACATCATCAGGACGGACTTTGGTCACAATCAAATGGTCGTTGAAAGAAACGGCCTCGTGATGCAGGGTGTCTCAAATCACACTACTGTCCTTTAAGTATGATTCAATTTATAATATTCTGTCACTTTGAAATCTATAAATGATCAATAATCAATTGACATAATTTTGTATTCACAAAAAATATGATTGGAAAGGTTTTGTAGACTTTAAAAAATGACTTTCTAAATTCAATACATAATACGCATTGTTTTCTTTACATATTCTTTGAGACATCCTGTATTGTTAAGTTCTAGATAATAACCATCCATTTGTCTTTACAGTTAAAATTAATCTATTAATATTTTTTTACGTCTCCAGCTCCGTATCCGTTATTTATTAAGAGCCTAATTGCGCCTAATTACTTAAATAAAAAGCTCATTGTAAAATATACTTATCACCAGCACTGTGAATAATTTTAAGAGATATTAAATTATTGTTAAACATGAGAGCTGAGAGACGAATTGAAAAACGTTTTTAATCTTTGAAATAATTTTTTTTGTGATCATTATTCAAGAGGTATGACGGTAAATTAGGTTTACAAATAAATGCGGCAAATTATTTCAAAGATCGAAGTCGATCCTCAACTCGTCTCTCAACTGTCATGTTAAAAAAACCAACCTATTGGATAAAATGGATTACTATTTTGAATTATCCATAATAACTTCTTGCAGGTGTTCTGTGTACACTTTCTCTCATTTGCCGGGCCATATGAAATTCTCTGTATTTAATTCTGAAAAGTTATGTATTTAGTTATGTACAATAAACAAACAGTGAAAACCTGAAAACGGTGGATTTCTCGTAGTCTCTATCGAACTGTTATTTTATCAAATAACTTTTATATACAGGGTGTCCCAAAAAACATGGGAATTCAGCGACGAATTGGATATTGTCTTTGTTATGAATTAGCATGTAATACCTAATTTCAAAAGCCTTAATAATATTATGTCTGCTAAAGTTTATTTTATGATAAGGGTAAAAGACTGTAATTAANAATTTTCTTGTTTTACTTAGTACAACCGTATGCAGTCAAAACATAAACAAACAAATTGTGAACATAGCAGACGAAACTCTTACAGATTACAGCTTTCTCAGTAGGTATCACTATACTAAATCAAAGAATTGCTTAAAAAGAAGATATGAAATTGTCACTGAATTCCCATGTTTATTGGGACACCCTGTATATTATAACAATTTTAGATCTGATTTGTCATTGCAACTGCACATTATAAAAGGAAGAACAGAGACGATCATTTATTCCACGGTTTTCTCTTACTCACTGTATGTATTAAAATAATATGTCATATTTATGCAATTTTGTAGTATTTAAAAGTCCTTCCAACTAAGGAGGTATCTCTTTTTCTAATTAGATTTATTTTCTATTTAATTGAAAACCTTGCCTTTCTCTAGTTGTGGATATTGCGCTAACAGAAGCAGAGTAAAATATTTAGGTATATTTCTTATACTAAAAAAAATGGCCCACCCTTAAAAATGTCGACGTATAATTTTAAGTAACTCCCCATCTAAAGACTAGGGCATGTCAAATTCACAACAGTACTTTTAAATCTTTTTCCCAGCAACAATTTGGAATAATTTTTCTTTTATAAATAAGTTTTTATTTGACTAATTTCATGCACCGACTCTTCCATCTAAATTTTAATCATTTTTACGAAAGACCTGGGATATCTTTATCGTTTTAGCTTATGAAGAACTAGCCAAAGTTTTTAGTTTAAGAGAAAACAGTAAGAATAAATAAATTTGTTTTTGGTTACAGCCTTGACCGCTAAGGCTGAGAACTTAATGAAGATCTCTTGAATTCTTAGGTTCTGAATGTAGTCTTTGGTCATACATACATACAGCCTTTTATGCACTGAAGCGGATATGGGTGTATGCATGTAAGTCTACTTCTCTGAAATGTTAATAAACATGCTGTACAGTAAGATTCATATCTTTATTTTATAAATATTAAATAAAATTACAATAATTATATTCTCCTTTAAGATCCCTTGTTGAATGCAAATGTAGACATTGGTCCCTGAAAAAAAGTTAAATTGGAAATCAATCGATAATACTTTTATTTTGGTTCACTAAATCACAGTGCTATAAAGTCGCCTTCAAGATTATATTTGTCCCTCACTAAATTTGGGACAAAATTTAATCTATAAAACAGACTTGAACCTTCTCAATAAAAAAGAAATTTAAGTCCAAAAATCTTTATGAAATGTTCATGTACTTCTCTTAATGCAATGGTAACTTCCCTAGATATAACAAAGGAGAAATAAAAATTTAAAACTAATTTTATTTTATTTTCATTTAAATTGAGAAAAAAAGCTCTCGAAATTATAAATTTTTGGAAGAAAATCCGGAAACTTTACAGCACGTCAATACTAAAATTCACCATGAAGTGAGTATGAATAAAATTCTAAATGTATTTTTACATTTTACAATAACACATTACTTGCTGTAGCGATTTCCCATCAAAGAACTGAGCCAATCCCTGCCGTCTCAAAAAAAAATCAAGATTTCTCTCGGGGCTCCAACAAATGAAACTTTTTGCAAATTAACAGAATATTCGAAATGAACCAAAGAACTAACCCTTTTTGCAAACTAACAGAATATTCGAAATGAACCAAAGAACGAACCCTTTATGCGAATATTCGAAATGAACCAAAAAAAGAACCTTGTACTTTTTGATCTCATTAAAAAATAACAGAAATTAAGGCAAGTGTGAAAGCTTTCACTAGATATTAACAAATAAAGAAGGAAAACTTTTAATTCACAGATAACCCAGCTTTATTTCTCTATATAAGGCAACCTATATTACTTACAATTTTTAAACCAAGCTAAGAGCATGTCTGTGGTTCTATCAAGTTCTTCAGTCAAGAGTTGAGGCAAATCGGTCAAGTGGGTCAAAAGTTTTGATCAAACAAACAAATACCGAGACAAACAAACAGAGATTATTAATTTATAAATATATTTAGATGCTTACCCTTCCACTATCCCTGGGTGTCAATGGTTCTTGCTCCTCAATGTGTCCCCTTAAAATAAAAACCATAATATTTGTTAATCCTCCAAAGGGGATACTACCTAAATCAGAAACAAACTAAATAAATATTTTAAAATGATGCAATTTTTTTCGGAGAAAACAGGCCTGACATATTAGTTAAACCGCGTTTGGCCACAACGAAGGTTTTAATTTCTTTTAAAATTTATACTTTTAGCAATAAAAACAAAACAAAAACGAAAAATTCTGATGATATTTTTTTTTAATTTTCATCATTTTAATGAACAAAGAACTATTTGGTAACCAGAATTATAAGTAAAAGGGCTAAGGAGCTCTGCAGGAGTCCTAGTAAAAACTAGCATTCATTTACAAACAAACTTATTAAAAATGTTGGGGGGGGGGAGACAACAAAATAGTTTTTTATTTATACCTGGAAAGTGCCGGAGATCCCATATTAGATCGTGATTTCTTCTTCTTATTCTTTAATCTAGAAAAATATAAATTCATGTTTTAACGAAAATGAATTTTTATCTTCATTTCGAAAATTTCTACAAGCATGGTCTTGAAACTAAACACTCAGCTACAGACCTTCGACATTTTTATTATTTTTAACTACTTTACGAGGGGAGTTAGGGAATTTTACTTTACCAAGGGTTCCCTAGACCAATTTTGCCAACAAAACATCTGCAGATCGTAGAAAGAGGCGGTAAGTGTATTTTCCAGTGACCGTACATGCAAAGATAACAATGCTTGATTGACAACGGTGTTGAAGACATTGTAGTTTTCTAGGTTCAAAAGATTTAAATTATGATAGTTTCTTTGTTTTCCTGAGGAAGATATGCCAAGTCTGAAGAGAAACCACAATTGAAAATATAATCAGGATTGAAACTTATAAACATTGATATCTAATTCATACTTGACCAGACAAAGCTTTCAAGGGTACAGTTGTGAATAGGACATAAGGTCAAGTGGAATTAAGATTAAAGGGACTGTAAGCGTAATTTCAAGTGGCCCTTCATACGAAAAGGGCAATCTGGACATAACGCAGCACACACCAATATTTGCAGCTGATTTCGGTACGTTTACACAGTTGACACATGTCTCTGTACTCGTCGTACACACTAGGGTTTTTAGGATACAGCTATCTTTGTATGGAGGGTCACTTGAAATTACAATTACAGTCCCTTTACGAATACTTTAACCGAATAGTTTCTATGCAGAGCTGCAGGTTTATAAAACCTGAATCTTACTTGATGATGAGCACAAGCACAATGATGATGAAGATGATAATAAAACAGACAAAGAAACCAAGGATAGTGAAGTATTTTCCCCTCCAACCATCCATTTTCTCAACCAGGACTTCATGCTGAACAAACAGGGTTGATACGTGGAGGTGTCTTACAAATATCAATAAAAGCATTCAGTTTCATGTTAACGGGAGTTACGCTAAGATGGGGGTTTAGTTCCGGATTTTTATGATGAAACGGACAAATTATTTTTTTTGACCGAAGGATTTTTAAAATTCAAAGATTAGATTAAAATATTTCTTTACCTTGCTCTCTTTGGTTTTTTCCTTAATATCTTGCGTTAAACTTTTAACTATAATTAATTACCCATTAAACCCGCCATAATTTTCCATAATTTTCCATAATTATCCATTATTATCCATTATTATCCATTATTATCCATAATTATCCATAACTATCCATAACTGTCCATAATTATCCATAATTATCCATAAATATCCATAAATATCCATAAATATCCATAACTATCCATAACTATCCATAACTATCCATAATTATCCATAATTATCCATAACTATCCATAACTATCCATAAGTATCCATAATTATCCATAATTATCAATAACTATCCATAATTATCCATTATTACCTGTTCTAACTTCTCATTCTTGACCCTTAAGATATCCATTATTACCTGTTCTTCTAACTTCTCATTCTTGACCCTTAAGATATTCATTATTACCTGTTCTTCTAACTTCTCATTCTTGACCCTAAAGATATCCATTATTACCTGTTCTTCTAACTTCTCATTCTTGACCCTTAAGATATCCATTATTACCTGTTCTCCTCACTTCTCATTCTTGACCCTAAAGATATACATTATTACTTGTTCTTCTAACTTCTCATTCTTGACCCTTAAGATATCCATTATTACCTGTTCTCCTCACTTCTCATTCTTGACCCTTTATGTATCCATTATTACTTGTTCTTCTAACTTCTCATTCTTGACCCTTAAGATATCCATTATTTCCTGTTCTTCTAACTTCTCATTCTTGACCCTTTATGTATCCATTATTACCTGTTCTTCTATTTTCTCATTCTTGAGCCTTAAGATATCCATTATTTCCTGTTCTTCTAATTTCTTATTCTTGACCCTTTATGTATCCATTATTACCTGTTCTTCTATTTTCTCATTCTTGAGCCTTAAGATATCTTTTTTTACCTGTTCTTCTAACTTCTCATTCTTGACCCTAAAGATAGAGTTTTCTTGATCAGCAGATTTTCTTGAACTCTCCAGAGTGCTTCCGACAGTTGAACTGGCCTAGATGGGAAAAAATGACATTAGCAAGACAACTTACAGGTCGTCTTTGATATTTTTTTTACTGGATTAATTCGTTAACCAAATTTTATAAAAAAAAATTGTTTAGTTAATAGTCACAATACACCCCTAGTCTTAGCATTTCCAAAATGTGGTCTGACTTTTTTGTGCCATCAAAATTACTAGAGATGTGAAGAAATATGTTCAGACTTAGAAAATTTTGGTGTTGTAAATCAAAATTGAAATCGCGGTGTGAAATTTTCAAACTCGCCGGTAAAATATTGACAGCACATAAAAGCAGACCACATTTTGGAAATCCCAGGACATGGAGAATTTTGGGTAATTGTTTTAAAAACCATACATGTGAAAGAAGGTTGACGATTGAATGTCTCAAATTAATTCAAATATCAAAGACGACTTTTCAATCGTCTTGTTACTGTCATGTTTCGTGGGACACCTTATACATCTTTGCTAGAAACTCTAACAGTAGGTCGTGGGACTAAACATCTTTGAAGGAGGAAGAAGAACTTTAAACAATCTTATGTGAATTCAAATGTAATTGTGAATTAAGGCAAACAGTTTTACCAGTCGCTATAAAATGTTCAAGATACATGAAATCACCTTGAATGGATTTTTTCCTATGTTCAACTTTTGAACAATTTGGATGATTTCAGCTTTTCTGAATTTAGTTTTTCAAATCTTTTAATACCCTTTTGAAGTATTTTGACGAATTTTGTTTCTCGCTTGCAAGTTACGTTGATGGTGGACATTTCGACAATAAAAGTCACCAAAAAAGCAAAGTAAAAGGTTATGGTTCGGTAAATCGAGATAAATGAGCCGCGCCATTAAGTAGTGGTGAATGATAAAATAAATACAACAAAATATTGACTAAATTTTTGAAAAATTAAATAATATTTATTGTTTCACAACAATCGTAACGTTGCGCAAAGAAGAAAAAACATTGGGCGTAATAATAAGGACACTAAGCAAATGATTAATCTGCAAACATTTTAATTAACTGAATATTCAATTGAAGTTCATCTAGGTTCTGGCAATTAAACCATAAGAAGGAAAAAAGACAAATTTTTGGGACAAAATTTAAACATCATGCTGCAGCATCAAAAATAATGCAATTGCCTGACTAGAAAACCCGCATTTTCAGTAAGCTTGCAATGCAACAAAAGCTAGCAATGAAACAATAGCTTGTAATGAAACAATAGCTTGCAAGGAAACAAAAGCTTGCAAGGAACCAATAGCTTGCAATGAAACAATAGCTTGCAATGAAACAATAGCTTGCAATGCAGCAATAGCTTGCAATGCAGCAATAGCGTGCAATATAACAATAGCTTGCAAGGAAACAATAGCTTGCAAGGAAACAATAGCTTGCAAGGAACCAATAGCTTGCAAGGAAACAATAGCTTGCAATGAAACAATAGCTTGCAATGAAACAATAGCTTGCAAGGAAACAATAGCTTGCAATGAAAAAATAGCTTGCAATGCAACAAAAGCTTGCAATGAAACAAAAGCTTGCAATGAAACAATAGCTTGCAATGAAACAATAGCTTGCAATGCAACAATAGCTTGCAATGCAACAAAAGCTAGCAATGAAACAATAGCTTACAATGAACAATAGCTTGCAAGGAAACAATAGCTTGCAATGCAACAACAGCTTGCAAGGAAACAATAGCTTGCAATGAAACAATAGCTTGCAATGAAACAATAGCTTGCAATGCAACAATAGCTTGCAAGGAAACAATAGCTTGCAAGGAAACAATTGGTTGCAATGAAGCAATAGCTTGCAATGCAACAAAGCTAGCAATAAAACAATAGCTTGCAATGCAACAATAGCTTGTAATGAAACAATAGCTTGCAATGAAACAATAGCTTGCAATGAAACAATAGCTTGCAAGGAAACAATAGCTTGCAATGCAACAATAGCTTGCAATGCAACAATAGCATGCAAAAAAAAATTAAAATTATTTGGATAAATATAATCAGAATTATATTCATTTATAAAGCAAAGCTCCGAAATTATGTGTACGTTTGTTTGTATTTTATATTATCTATAGCCGGTCAAACCTTACCACTCAAAACTCTAGCTAAAATTTAAAAATATTACATTTAACCATCCCCCCCCCCCTGGGTAAAAAAGGACATTATCTTTTGTATACATTGTCGAACAATAGCCAAAAATAATTCGCAGATTTTAAAATTAGTCCCAAAACCTTCTGAAGGGTCATGCGAGGTTCCACAAAAATTTGTGCCCGATCGGTTCAGGCGTAAATTTGCCGTATACTGGATACAAACAAACAAACAGAGAAGCAAAATATATTGATAGATGTTTTTAAAGCTATACAATTTTACGAGTAAAGCTAAATTTTGAAGTAAACCCAATCCAATATATTACTTAAACAATTGTTGAGATACTTTTTATAACTATATAAGGATAAACTTAAACAAAGTTACCTTTAATAATCATATTTTAACCTTAAAATTGAGCAATTCAAATTATTAAAGAAGTACAAACAAGTAAATATAACCATAACACTCCGGAGTAGGAAGACGACTTTTGGACTCAAGTTTAGACTTTTAACAGTCCATTGATCATGAGCCACAGCAGTTGTGCAATGAAAACAGACCCATTTTATAATTAATAAATGATAAAAAAGTAAGTGTAAAACTTTATACTATACCATAAAATACACTGAATTATTGCTTAAATGTTATCTTTCTAATCCACAGTTTTCTGGTTATCACTGTGTTCATAAACTAAAGTATCGTTCAAATCCATGAAATTTGATTTTTGGATTTAGTTTTGTATCGGAAAATTTTAAGTTCTTGATTACAATGTTAAAAAAATGGCTTTCCATATTTTCCGAAAAAATACCATTGTGGAAGTTGCTCTCTTAAAACTTGCAAGTTCAAATCCGCATTAACTTTTGAATTTTAAAAAATGTGTAAATATTGCCTGACCACTAATTAGTTAATTGTATATTACGGAATGTGGTGTATTCGGAGTACAAATTTCTCTATTGGCCTAACCTTACCTTGCCTTTTTTTAAGATTGAGAGCCAATAGAAATACAATTTAATGTCAATATATGAAAAAGCAATGCGTGATTCAGGACCGATCAGACCGACTTAATTTTACAATATTATTAATTTAAGACTAAAAGTACGTCAAAACTTAGTAAAAAATATACCGATCAATCATCAAAAGCAATGGAAACTTGTTCATACAAATAATTTTCAAGAAGTTTTAATGTGATGATTAAAAAATAAGAGTAAATAAGTATTTAACCAGGAGGGGAGGGGGAGGGGCGCTAGAACTTTGTCACTAAAATTCTAATGAATCAAGCAGAAACCAATATAGTAGATAAAAATATGATTTTTAACGTGACAGAAAATATAAATGAGATACTTTTTCATAAGTAAAGGTTTCTTTGGGGGCAAGGGCGAATGAAACACATAAAGAGAACCCTGACTATATTTTAAAAAGTGAAAGGAATTGAATATTTAAACCTCTTAAAGTCATAAAAAAGACAATTCTCTAAAGTGGAAAGTGCGTGGGAAAAACCAACAGATAGATCCCAGGAACTTATACAAAAGGATTGAAGGGGTGTACATTTTCTTTAAAATCATTAACCATTCTTCATAAAATTCATTAGAATTTTTACAAATTAGCTGAAAAATTCTAAAAGAAAAAACTGGGTATGAATATTTCGGATCAATTTCATAACTATAAAAAGAAATTAAAATATTGGATAATGCATCGGAACAACTTAAGTAAAACCAATCAAATATTAAAATAGTTATGGCAAAACAAAAATATATCACACCCCTAAATAGATCACAGAGATTGTACATAAAAACATTGAAATAATGCAGGAGAATAATTCTTAACATATTTACAAATTTAAAAATCTCCATTGGATAAATTATTCTATGGTTCTACAAGAAGAGTTTAATATTGCTTATGAATGCTCAAGCTTGTTCAACTTTATAAAAAGCCTACCTTCAGTTTTAGGTTTGCGAGTGCTGCTTTTTAATGAAGATTGACTTCTTCTAAAATCATCACCATGTTCATCGGGAGAAGCAGCAATAGTTTCTTCAAGTTTACTTGAAGGTGTAGTAGTAATAGCTTCCTTAGGTTTACTGGAAGGGGCGTCAATAATAGCTTCTTTAGGTTTACTGGGAGGAGTAGCTTCATCAAATTTCAAATAAAATGGTGCAAATAGACCTGACAACATTCTTAGATCTGGAGACTCATGTGTTAGAGTCTGTTTTACATCCTAAAATATCAAGGTAGGTAGGCAGTTCACCTAGGGCATTGATTTTTAGTTACAACATGTCTTATGATTGTGTAAGAAAAGTCACAAAATTCGTGGACCCTAACCTTAAGGAATAAAAAATATTGCAAAAATAACTTAATGAAGCCTTGAACTATTCTTTAGAGCTGAAACTGCATTTGATTTTAAGATCAAAAAAAGTAGATTTTCTTAAAAAGGGCTTGTAGTTTTAACATATGCTTACCTCCAGTTCTATAAAGGTTTCCAAGTATCCCTCAGACTCTTTATTCAGTGTCTCACTTGACTCTTCAGGGGTATCAGTAGTATGTTCCAGATCTATTGTCAGTTGTTCAGCATCATCGACAGAAGAACGATCCTCACTATCAGCTGTGGTAGACTCTCCAGATATAAGATCATCCATGGTTATTTCACTCCTGTTCTTAGTATCCTCATCAATGGGTTCAATGTAAGCCCCAGTATTTGCTTGAGTGGTAGTTATTGCTTGAGTAAAAGCCGCTACAGTTTCAGTTGTAAAAACTCTGCTGGATGGGTTTACAGCCGAAGCAGGTGAAGTAGAGGCATCTGTGCCGGTAGCACCTGTGGTTTTCAATAATTGGCTTGGTTTTGTACTGGGGCTGAAAAAAGTCTTTATTGATCTTCTGTTATTTTTTTCATTTAGGATAATCAAAATGTTTTTCAAATATTTTGCAGATATTAAATTCACGTAAAAGGTACGATATTAAAGGAGACTATGTTTCAACATAAAAATTAAACTTACCTATCTTAAAGTTTACGAAAACTTTAATTTGAAAGTTATATTGATCTCAACTACAAAAATCTTAAGAAAATTTGAAGAGAATATGATTTCTCATTTTTTAGTCAAAATATTGCATTGACAGGACAATTATTTGCAGTTTGCAGTTCCTGGCAAAAAATGGGGGAGGGGGGGAAATTCCACACAAGTTTATTTTTTAATGGAAAATATAAACAGAGTGGAGTGATTGGTTTTTAAAGTTTAAATATTATATTTAATCATATATTCAATAATTCAATTCCAATTTTCTGAACCGTCTTTTTAAGTTGTTTACCTGGCTAATAAGTTGCTTGGGATTTCTCCTCTTTCTTCATCCACTTGAACATCTTTCCCTTTTCCTTAAATATTTAAGTTTACGTTTGAGAAACATTTTACGTCACTAAAAATGTTTAGGAAAAGGGCAGAAACATTATCTTTATATGAAGTGTACATAGCATCTGTTTGCCTCAAATTTGGCCAATGGTTAGATTTTAGCCTGGCCTGGGTTATAAGTTTCAAGCAAAGCTAGTTTCCTAAGCAGTAAATCATATTGGAGGAAATCGAAATTTTTTCCAAATAAAATTAATAAATTGATAAATATGGTCTTTAGGTAAGTGAAGGTAAAAATTCCACCAAAATATTATCAGAAATAGTATATCGGGACATTTTGATATCTGCAATTCTTTCCAAAATAACCCAAATGGAGAGCAGAATTATACTTGTAACATTGGAGGCTTGTGGAGCACATAGCAGCAAATTTTTTTAATTTTTCTGGGTTGATGTCTGAATGTCCAGATATAATGTACATTATTGAAAAAGTCTGATAAATTTTGGTTGTCATGCTGTAAATTTAAGATTAAAACCTTCTGACGAATGTTTATTTTTCCCTTTATTATAGGATTTAAAAAATTACAGTGGGGATTAAAATTTCAATCTACTTCCATATAAAGCCTTGATTCTGTGACTATACAGTGTAAAACGTCATTTTATTTTGTAAACTAGACCAAAATAAATGTTGTGTAAATGTAAATGTCAAGGAGTTTGGAATATATAATGGAGATGGAGTCGACCCGGCCCGTCCAACCATATGATTATACAATATACATGCCTTGCAGAAGGAACTCCATTTGAATAAGAAATATTTGTCTGGTGTACAAATACCGAGTACATTTATTCAGAAAAGGTTAGTAAATATTAAACAGGAAAAAAGGCAGGCTGACTGAATAGCGCCAAACAAATACATTTTTTGGGGAATATTTGTAATACGAACGCATTTGATCATAATATAAATAATTGGTTAATTTAATATGGTGTGGAAAACGACATTTACAGATTAAAAGACTACCTTTAAAAAACCCTTTTTCAAATGAAGAACCGTTCGTAAAGCATGTATGTATAATCATATGGTAGGGCGGGACAATGGCAGGGTAGTCATTCTCCATTATAATCCATACTCCTTGGTAAGTGTAAATGGGACTTCAACTCTTTCAAGGGAATTAGACGTTTAATCTACCGTAAAATTACGTTAAAATAGGGACAAACACAATTCATGATGGTTTCCTTTAATTTCTGATCAATAAAGTGGAAGTTAACGTTTATTCTAGATTGAAAAGTGTTTGATTCCCACTATCTTCTCCATCTTTCCTGTTGCTAGAAATCCGCAATCATGAAACTCTTTAAACGGGCACAAAACTCTTTAAACGGACACGAAACTCTTTAAACGGACATGAAACTCTTTAAACGGACATGAACCTCTGTAGTTGGACATGAAGCTCTTTAAACGGACATGAAACTCTTTAAACTGACATGAAACTCTTTAATCGGACATGAAGCTCTTTAAATGGAGTTAAATGTTGTTCAGGAAATATTTTTTCATGTATTCATTAATTCACCTGTATGAAGACGACCATCCGGAGCTGAAGGTTTTGGCTTAAGTTGAGAATTAGGTTGAGGATTAAGCTGAGGTTCGGGCAACCATGGCAATCTTCGGCACTCTTCAATCCATCCAAGAGCCTGATAAAAATTGAATACTTAAAAACCCTTCATTTTTATAAGACACTCTTTCTGGTGCGCAAAAGTTTTCATTTAATCTTCCTGATTTGCAGACTTTCAAACAGTGCTTAGGATTCATTTTATTTAAAATCCATCTCATGCAAATTTCTTTAAGTTTGGCTGATTTAAATTACTAAAAAAATTGTATTCTTTTTGGTTTTTTATGCAGAAATGTTTTTAATGATATCTTATTGGTTGACACTTTAAAAACATGTGTGTTGTGCACTGCATTGCTTATATGCGTGCTTGCGTAATTTCAGGGTAAATATATAAACCAAACTGCGTACAAAAAATCAGTTAATTTTTCAGGTTTCACTACATATGAACCAATCAATTGTTTGTCATGAAAAATACAGGGTTACCCACAAAGGATGACACTTTAGAGACGATTGTACGGAATATGTTTCGTCCGTTAGAGACGATTGTACGGAATATGTTACGTCCGTTAGAGACGATTGTACGGAATATGTTTCGTCCGTTAGAGACGAATGTACGGAATATGTTTCGTCCGTTTTCTTGCATTCAGGGCTTAGTCATTTGGTAAACCATCAAAATAATCAATTGAATGCAGAAACCTAAAATCAATCTTCAAATATTCATATTTTTAAGTTTTGGGTCGTTTTTACAGACTCATTCTGTGTAGGTAACTCTGTATTATGCAAGCTGGATAGAAAGCAAAACTGCACTGGAATGTTGTCTGTATTATATTGGAAACCAGGCCCACCACTGTATCTTAATATTTCTAATACCTGGACAAGAATAGGAGTTGTAGGGTGGGGACAAGAGCAGGTTTCGCAAGCATCTAGAAAAGTATTGTATTGCCATTGATTCTTAACCTAGCTCTTTCTTGTTTCTATCAGTATTTGTGTTCGTGTCTAGCTCTACCGGCAACATTGTTAGAAAAATGGACATTTTCATGAGAAAATTTGGCGCATTTATAAAAAATAGTGGAGATTTTTAGCTTTGTGCGAGTTAAAGTAATGGCGAAAGTGATTATGTCAGATTTAATAATTGGCAAGTGTAACCATTATGAAAAGCGAAATTTATGGCAAGTGCTACTTATGGCAAAAGAAATTATGGCAAGTGTATTAATGCCAATTGTAATTATGGCCATTGTAATCATGGCAATGTATTTATGGCAAAAGTATCATGACAAATGTTACTGAGCCATAAATTTTTTTACAACATTTAAAATCGGTTATTCTAACCATTTCTTTCCTCACAATATGCCAGATATTAACCATAATACAAGATACACAGAACCAAAAATTGTTGGTAGATTTTTCCTTGTTATTATTTTTTAGGATACAAATTTTACGTTGTTTCATGAAAGCAAAAAAACTGTAAAAGATTAGTTTTGAAATGTTAAACATTTTTTTTGAAATAGTATTTGTGGTACATTTTTTAAGTCCAAAAAAACTGAAGTCTTTGATCGAAAACAAACCGATCTGCACCATGCTTAGGTGGATTTATGGCTAAATGAAAATGTATGATGATAGTATATTTTAGGATTTGGTTGCCTTTCAGATTTTTTATTTTGTTAACATAATTCTTAACGATTATGAAACCCTTGAAATTGCAGAAGGATCACCAAATTCACTGTTTTATAAATTCAAATCTGGTATAAAGGCGAAAAACATGTTCAATAAATTTGATCTTACCTAATACAACCACACAAGATTGAACTGGTTCATTTATTCCAAGCCAATCAGCTGAAATTAGTTATTGACATAAACAATCAAAAAATGTTTTGATTCGTATTAAAATTAGAAACAAAATATAACAAACCCTTTCAACAACCATTCTCTCAACAACCATTCTCTCAACAACCATTCTCACAACATCCATTCTCTCAGCAACCATTCTCTCAACAACCATTCTCTCAACATCCATTCTCTTAGCAACCATTCTCTCAACAACCATTCTCTCAACAACCATTCTCACAACAACCATTCTCTCAACAACTATTCTCTCAACAACAATTTTCTCAACATCCATTTTCTCAATATCCATTCTGTCAACAACCCTTCTCTCAACAACCATTCTCTCAACAACCATTCTCTCAACAACCATTCTCTCAACATCCATTCTCTCAACATCCATTCTCTCAACATCCATTCTCTCAACAACCATTCTCTTAACAACCATTTTCTCAACAATTGTCTCGACAACCATTGTGTCGACAAACATAGTTTCGACAACCATAGTTTCGACAACCATAGTATCAACAACCATAGTATCGACAACCATTCTCTTAACAACCATTTTCTCAACAATTGTCTGGACAACCATTGTCTCGACAACCATTGTGTCAACAACAATTGTCTCGAAAACCATTGTGTCGACAACCATAGTTTTGACAATCATAGTTTCGACAACCATAAGTCTCAACACCCATTCTCTCAACAACCATTCTCTCAACAAACATTATCTCAACAAACATTTTCTCAACAATTCTCTCAACAACAATTCTTTCAAAAACCATTCTCTCAACATCCATTCTCTCAACAACCATTCTCTCGACAACCATTCTCTCAACAACACTTCTCTCAATAACCATTCTCTCGACAACAATTTTAAAAACAACTCTTCTCTCAACAACCATTCTCTCAACAACCATTCNATCTATCATATTAACTAGAAATATTACTAGAATCTATCATATTAACTAAAAATTACTAGAATCTATCATATTAACTAGAAAATACTAGAATCTATCATATTAACTAGAAAATACTAGAATCTATCATATTAACTAGAAATATTACTAGAATCTATCATATTAACTAGAAAATACTAGAATCTATCATATTAACTAGAAAAGTCAACATTTCATGTTGCAAAGTGCCGCTTTAGCTCCTGTAGATCAATTTAAAAGTTTTAAAGTTTTAGAAAGCATGAATTTTTTTTATTTTTATACATTTTTTGAGTCTCATAACTTATATACACCCCTACTTGTAGCCCTTCAATTTATTTTGATTTTCAAAAATAAATTTAAAACACTTTATAATCTTTAACATTCGTATTTTTTAATGGATCAGCTTGAAAAAAGTATCGCAATTTTTAAACAATCGATATTTTTAAAGAATTTGAGAAGAAAAATACTATTGTTTTTTTGCTTAACGCACAACTTTTTTCAAATAAACTTAAATAAATGATTAGAGAACTTCAAGTGAAAAATATTTACAGAAAAAAAAACAAGTAAACCTCAAGTGAACTAATTGAATTGGACATTGCGCTCTAAAAATAGTTCTGTATAAACCCCTGTAAGTAATAACAAGTCCTACCACTGAGGAATAGAGATCAGTATGACAATCGGTCAATTCACCACTGTTCTCTGCTAAACCAGTTTTGAACAAAACAAGTAAAAAAATCAACATTCTAAATAAAAAACAACTTTAAATAATGGGTGATTTAGTACAGAAAAAAATAAAATAATGGAAAGGTAAAAGAGTAAATAGAGGAAAACGAAATCAGTAAAGCAAAGGAAGGAAGGACAAGTAAAGAAAGGAATAAAAGTAAAGTGTAGGATATGGTTAAGAAAAGTAAGCTAAGTAAAGAAATGGAAGGAAAGCCAAGTGAAGGAGAAGAAACCCCAGTAAAGGAAATCAACCTAAAGGAAAGGAAGAAAGATGAAGTGATGAAAAGTTAGAAATTGGTAACGGAAAGAAATGCAGAGTGAAAGTAAAGAAGAAACGTGGGGTCCGTCATAGTATACGATTTTAGAAAGGCAAAGTGAAGAAGAAGAAAGCAAAGTGAGAAAAGGCAAAGTGAGAAAAGAAAAGCAAAGTGAAGAAAAGGAAAGCCCCCTAGTCCTAGTCCTAGCCGCAGCGCTCGGCCCAGAAAGTGTCTTAACTACGATGTACACAAAGAGAACATGTTCACAACTAATTTAGAAGATGGGCGCGAAGCGCCCTCTAAGGCTAGAAAGAAGGGCGCGAAGCGCCTTGAATTTCTAGTGTAATAAAAAATGGCCCAATAATTGATATATACTCTCTTCGTGCCCAGGTTAGGGCTTACTGGAAGCAGATTGTTTTCAAAAGAACCAGTTTTTATAATATTTCGAGTAAAAGAACGAAGAAATGAAGTGCACAGTGTACACTGTGTACGGTAAATGTGTACTGCACGTCACAAAATCGATTAACTTAAAGGTTATAGAGTACATAGTATATAGACAGTACATAATGTGCAATTCAGGGGGCGGAAACGTCATGTGTGTGTGTCTGTACCGAAAGAGTGTGTGTAAGGTTAACATATTGAAGGTGTGTATTGTAGGTATATACAGTAAAGTAAATACGAATCTCGGTATTTGTACAGTCTAGGAGAGCATATTTGTTTATTGAATTAATTGTTTACTTAAAAATGAGTTCAATATACATGTAGTATATTGTTTACATATTTAAGTCAACACTATAAGCCAAATTTTCATGCAAAGAATATATGACTTAATTAAAGTTTACAATGAATATATTCATTATTCAAGCTTATAAGTATAATGGACGGCATTTTTCTGCAATTTCCTTGACTGTAATCATGTTGTGTGTCTGTACTAAAAGAGTGTGTGTAAGGTGTAATTTTTAGTTTTCGTTATTTAATAATTTAAAAAAAAACTAATTCTGAAAGCGTATCCACCCCCAAATCAGGAGTTTTGAACGTTGAATTTGCGCTCAAACTCAGGATTTACAGATCTTTAAAAAGTGAAATATGTCTCAAATGAATCCTAAAGAAGGTTTCGACAACACTGCATACTCAGTTCAATTACCTTACATAGCCGGTCACTCCCTTTAAAACTTTTGAGGGACGTGTCCGCTTTTTAGTTGACAAATATTTTGAGGGATCTCCCACCCAGCTAACATTCGATCTCCGCCGTGATTTGGTCTCCGCCATGTCGTATGTGCGATAGCGGAGAGGTTTCTATACCTCCATAGTATGTACTCCATGTCCTTTCCATAGTAAGTGCTATGGCGAAGAAATTACAACACCGCCATAGTATATACTCCAGATTTCCGCTATATCTCCTCTTTTGTAGGTGCGATGGCGAAGTAATTATGTACCACCATAGTATATACTCCATATATATCTCCGCCGTAGATACTCTGTCGAAGGTGCAAGGGCGGAGTAATTACGTACTCCATAGTATATACTCCATATTTCTGATATATCTCCTCTATCGTAGGTGCTATGGCGAAGTAATTACGTACCACCATAGTATATACTCCATATATCTCCGCCGTAGATACTCTGTCTAAAGTACGAGGGCAGAGTTATTACGTACTCCATAGTATATACTCCATATTTCTAAAATATCTCCTCTGTCGTAGGTGCGAGGGCGGAGCAATTATGCACCTCCATAGTATATACTCCATATATCCCCGCTGTAGTTCCTTTGTCGTAGGTGCGACGGTGAAGTGGTCAATATACCGAATTCTTTCTTTCCGATGTAGAATGTAGACATCGGTGTAAATGTCCCCGATGTAGAATGTAGACATCGGTGAGAAAGAATTCGATTTAGTATATACTATATGGTACCGACATCGAAGTGTTCAGATGTGGGAGATCATATCTGCGCTGTAGTATATACTATATCGTATGTACGACAGATCTGGGTGGGTGCCGTTTACTATGCCAGGACCTACATCGGACATGATGATCGGAGCTCCGCCCAACTCTGGCGAAGCCTGTCGTATATAGGAGGCGGTATAACCGAAATCGGTTATTTTGCTAGCTAGGAATATTTTTGACGGATTTCCCAATATTTTTTAAGCATTTCTTCAAAAGTTTTGAGGCGTTTCGGTATATTTTGAAACTATATTTAGTTGAAATGTTTCCTCTTTTTTTGAGGCGTTTCTGCAAACTTTTTGAGGAGTTTTTAAAAACTCTATTTAGTTAAGGCGTTTCCGCAAAATTTTTGTGGCGTTTCTGTATTCCCAAAAACCTAATTTAGTTGAGATGTTTCCTCGTTTTTTTGAGGCGTTTCCATATTTTTGAAAACTTTATTTAGTTGATGTTTTTTTTAGGCGTTTCCGTACTTTTCAAAACTTCATTTAGTTAAGGTGTTGTTTCTTTTTTTTTGGGGTCTGAGCGCTGCGAATTGGGAGGGGGGCATTTGCTGTATGTATAAAATGTTTTTTTTCGATAATTATGCATAAAATTTAAAATCCCTATGCTTTTTACTAAGCTTTTCATTAAAAATTTGCATCAATGGTGCAATATTCTGTGTTTTACTAATGTAAAATAAATAAATATTTGAACCTTTTTAATGTATGAGAACATTTGAGGGCTCTAGAAGTGTGTAGCCAATGTTATACATTCAGATTGGACCGCTAGGAACTGGAAAGTTAGAAGTTGTTTACGATAGTCTAAGATTTTCTTGACAATAAGTTAAATTTTATTATTCCTTAGCGATTGATTGATAGATGGATTGATTTATTGAATAAGTGCGCACGCAAAGAGCTCTAGATCCATGATAGACATTGAAGTTATGTTAACTTTGATCTACTACAAATAAATGTTATTAGTAGAAATAAGAGTTAACAGTAGTAACTGGAGTAGATAGAAACATGACACTCATTTGTATTTGAAACCGGTTCCTAATAGATGTTTGAAGTAACATGAAATTACAGTTAAAACAGAGCGCAGATTTAACAGTTTGGTCCTAATCCAAGCAAACCTTGACTTTCAATCACAATTTGACCTATTAAAAATACATTTTTTGCTGTAAGTTTAAAGACTGTCGAATTATAGACCAAAACGCAATTGAATTAAAATAGAAGAAACCTAATGCATCTGGCCCTGGTAAGTTCGGGCCGGGGGTTGTTAGAAATACAGACAAATACATAAAAAAAAATCATTTAAAACTATTTAATCATAACTTAGGAGTCTACCAGTCGTCTTCCTATTCCAGAGTTTGATGGGCCCCACTGTACGTAGCTTTAAGAATTTTTCATGTTAAGACTAATTAGTTGAATTATACATAAATAAAGAAACCAATTAACCCTATTCCTGCTGGGGGGGGGGGTCAATTTGCCCCGATTGTAGTTTTTTTTACATAACTCAAAAAGTATTGGTCTGAGGCTGATGAAATTTTCTGACTTTTCCAACATACCCAAAGGCCTCCCTTTAGGCCTAAAACCGGGCTTTAATACTAACTGCCTGAGTCCTCAGGCACACTGCCTGAATGACTGCTTTTTCCTGTAACAAACTAAATCTTTGTTTTGACCCACTTCCACTTGTCAGATTTTGATAAAATTTAGCTTTTTGGAAAGCCTTTGACATAAGGAAACGAATTGCACAAATTTTGCGAAAAAATTTGCAATTTTTTTGCAAACAACCTGTCAAAGGAAATTTGCACATTTTTAGTTTTTCTTGATTAAAAATCAGGTTATTTAAAATTTTGCAAAAATTTTTGCATATTTGAAATGGCATGGTCAAGGGCTTTTCAAAAATGTATAATTTTTCATTTTTTGGACAATTTTTTTTTGCAAACATTTTTACTATATAACTGGGTTTTGCGATAAAAAATTCAATTTTTGCTAATTTGCAAATTTTTTTGCAGATTCTAAAAGTAGAGCACAAGAGCTTTCCAATGATGTATCATTCGTAATATTTGGACATCAAACATGGGATGTAGAGGAGGGGAAG